GGAATTTTCTCGCGATGTGAGTTAAGGAGAGGCAAAAAGACGGCAGAATGGCCTTACGTTATCTCTCCTGTGTCGCGAGTGTATCCCCGCGGAGGTTTACGACTCCGCGTCACGTACGGTAACTCGCGTTCCACGAAACCCTCATCTGACGAACTTGAGGTTCATTTAAAGGCGAACCCGCTGGTATTTCACGTAGGTTGAGGGAAATACGTCTTCGTCGCTAGTGAACCTTCTCGTATGCTGGGATTTAGCGTTCTCGATAGTCGGGAAACGTTCCTCTGAGGATATTTAAGGATTCGGGCCGCCGCCATCTTGATCCGCGCGCGCTCTGCCGGGAAACGCGGGCACCGCATCCATGCCCGTGACGAGGTTCGACGTCCCGAGTCCCTTTCTTTCCCATTAAACGATTAGCAACCGCTTCGGAGAAATTGAAATGGCCTCCAGGCCGAGTGCTCGTGCCTCGCGTATGTGCGTACACGCACGCTAACGTAGGAATAATCTGCATCGGCGCACGCGAGGAGCGAAAACGGAGAGGAACCCTCTGGCGCGCTTGGTTTGAGGATTCCTCGATTATTGAAAATGCGATTCCGGATGCGAGGCGCCGAAAGTTTGCCTGCTCGGGAAAGCGTGTCTTTTTCAGACAATGCCGAAGAAAGCGGGAATCGAGAGAAAGAGAAAGGAGCGTGCTCGAGGGGACGTTATCGGGACCCGGTCCTTTTGGAGCGTCCCGGGCATCCTCGGGGTTAATTAATTATGGCAGGACCCTCGATGTGCCGGGATGATTTACGGAATTTATACCGCGCCCCAATAGGACGACGGAAAGCACTTTGCGGATAAAAAGCGCCGAGACCAATCGGCATCCGGCCCTTCCCCCGAGTTGCCATTCTTTGCGCATCTATGCTCGCTTCTCTGGCAGCCTCCATGCCCGTGACGTCACCAAATGGAAGGAATTTAAGATTAGGATCGCAGGACTCGTCGTCATCCTCCGCACCTGCGACTTCCGGGTATCCCGGTATATGTCCTCCCCCCCCACCGGAAGCGATCGATCGCGAAAATACGAGACAATGGGAATTGTTTCGGAGCCACCTGATACCTGTTGATCTCACCTCGCTCACGTGTCGGGAGGTGAGAAGGAGGTTGAAAATCGAATTGGGAAATACTTTCCGAATTTTCTCGGAATGCCGGAGTCTGGATGCACCTCTGAGGTGCATCCGAAGTCCCGGGGGAATTTAATGCCGACGAGGCGAGACTAGTTATGTAAATTTCTCGCATTCCCAGGATCCGCGCGGTATCGCGCGTATCGCCGATCTATCGGAATTGCGATTATCGATCCCGGTACCGGAATCGACCGGCCCGTTTTGCCGCCAATTAGCGGGACGATTCTCGCTGGAAAATCCAATTTCTCCGTTGACCCAGTTGAGTTTTCTCGGAGGAGGGGATTTGAGTTGATTTCTCGGTCTCGATGATTTCTACGGCCGAGGGATCTTTTTTTTTCTCTTTTTTAGAAAGGATCACGGTGGCTCGCCTGGGAGAGACTTTGGTCCACGGGGCGCACTTTCGGTCGCTTCCGGACGGGTGGGCGAGCCGATCGGCCGCGAAATCGACAAATCCGGCAAACGACCACCCGCGAAATCTTATAAAACCCCGGGGGTGGCATCGATTTCGGAGGAAGTCCACCTGGCTCGGATACCAAACCTTTAAAATCTCCCGCAACCGGCGATCCGCCACTTCATGGTCGTTCACCGGGCTAGGGCAAATCGAATTATTCAATTACATCGATTGGGGGGGATTACATCGAGAGGGGGCGATTACATCCAAAGGGGGTGCAGGGACAGTCCTCTGGAGGGGACCGATTTTTTTTTTTTTTTTTTAGTCGACGTTCCTCTCGGAGCGAAAATTAAAACCGGCCCGAAGCGAGTCGATGCATGGTAATTCCGCTCCTGCGGAATTTTGTACCGCCTCCAATTAGCAGCGAATTCCGCGCGGAATACGCAACCTCCTCGTTGACCCAGTTGTCGCGAGGAGCCTCGTTCTCATCTCCAAGATCTCATTTGTACGTCTCGGTCTTCTCCGACTTACTCGTTCCGGGTTACGGAGCGTTCGGAGCGAGAAATCGTAAATTCCCCCGGGCGAGGGCGTCCCGTGGGACTCGTGGGACGACGCAGGAAACCCCTGGATGCACCTCCTGCATTTCGACCAGGCCATCCGTGAAACCTATCGAAGCAGATATCCGACTGTCGCGGCTCCGAAGTCGCGCACCCCGGACTCGACGCACCTGCGACTCGTGTGTGTACGCGTGTATACGCGTGCGGTTGCACGCACCGCGAGCATTCCCATGGAGGGCACAAGAAGGGCGCACGAGGTCTCACATGGGACGCGAGGTGATGCTGGACTTATTAAATTAAAAAAAAAAGTGTTTAAATTTCTTGAATTTTCCCAAAAGATCAACATCGACCATTTTTTTGTTTCCCCCTTTTCATGGTAAAAGCTCATCCCTGAGAATTAAACGACGCCATTCCCATGGCGCACACGCACCATGGTCACACCGTGGTCGCCGTCGTGGACACGGACGGAAATCTCGAGACCGCAGGATGTCGGACGCTGAATGCTGAATGCGCGAACCCGATACACTGACCGCCGAGAGATTCCTCTCTCCCTCTCTCTCGCTTCTCCGGATCCGCGCCTCGTCCCCTCCTCGTCGCTCTCGTTGGCTTCGCGCCCGCCCGAAAAATCAAGCATCCCCGCCAGGGAACTCGCTTCCAAGTGCAATTAAACCGAAGATCACTCGGTTCTACGGGTTTTCGGAATGCTCGTTGCGGTATTTCGTATTAACCGAGACGGGAGCGAGGTTCGGCTTGGGATTTGCGAGAATTGTCCCGACTCGGGCGAGTCGGTAGTTCCTGGAGCTTCGTTGAGTCCGGGAACTGCGAGGCGACGCGCGAGAAATAAATTAAAACATTATCGAGCTTACGGGGGATTACGACCTTAAGTCCCGATTACACGCGGTGCGAGGTCGCCCAGAATTCGGGCGTTTCTTTTTCATGGCCTTCGACAAGAAAAAAGGACCCCCTCGACTTCCGGCATGTACGCGTGTGTGTATTCGTTTCCTGAATTTATTCTCGACGCCGCTTCCTCGGTGCATGTCGCCGCTGACCGAATTTCAGAATTTGTGCATGAGGTTTCCCTTCTCTCTCTTTCTCTCTTCCCTCGTCTCCTGCCCCCTGGAACGGATTACCGTTGGTCCTGTTAGGCCGGGTACACTTGCCGACTCCTCGTCGTAAATACGTGAACGAACCGAACGGCTAGATACCGGTTTGACTCTTATTCGGACGTCAGTTGCGAGCGGTACGCCGCTCGAAGAAGCTACTATATACGTATCGGGGTACACGCGCTCTGTACACCATTGCGATCGCGAGGTAACCGGCTCTCCTTCTCCCTCTCTCCTATATGCCTTGATACGCACCTTGAACGCGTTCGCGTGCTCGAGAGAGAGAGAGAGAGAGAGAGGCAAGCCGTGGGAGTACCTCTCCTGCGGATCTTGAATGGATTTAAAGGCCGCTTTTCGTCGATCCCTGCGATATGAGTCCAATACAATTTCGAGAATTAGTTTCCCGTCGTTATAAAAAATTAATTTAATATAAAATAATCATGCCGGCTCCTGAATGGATTTAAAGGCCGCTTTTCGTCGATCCTTGCGATATATGAGTCCGAATGAAATCTCGAGAACTATCTCCTTGTCCTAAAGAATTAATTTAATATCAAATATTTATCCGAATTAACGGAGGGAATTAAAATTGGGGAGAATTCGACCACCGTGAATTGGCCCTTTTTTTTTGGTTTCATTTTATCGAGCCCACGATAAGCAACGGATCCGATATAAGTGGCCTTCATTAGCGTCTCGAAGATCGCGCGAACCGGACCCGATCGTGTGGAAGGGTATCTCCTCGAGGAAGCGAGGATCGCGTGCGATCGACATTCTAGGTCCTCGAGCGAACGGGGACCCCACATACGTCGACATTCTGTTCCAGTGACACGCGCCTTCGTTGCGTATGATAATTTATGCCCGGCCATTGCCCAACCGGCCCCTCTTCGGGGATCGTCGGTAGCATCGCCGTTCTGTTCTCCACTCGGCCCAATCTTCTTCCGGGTTGCATGTGCCCTGGAAAGTCGCGATCGACCTTAAGAGAGAACGACAGGAGTCCTTTGACTTTTGTGGAACTCGATTTGCCGTCCGAGATTACTTTCTATTTTTCATATAATATCCTTACGATTTATAATCGTTTAATATTATGTTAAAATTAATGTCAAGGGGCTCATTTGAGGGAAGTCAAGATTTTCGAAAAATCATGTCCTGCCGTGGTGTCCTTGCGGCTTCGCGATAGGAGTCGCTTGACTTTTGGGAAACTCAATTCGTCGTCCGTGATTAGTTTCTATTTTTCATACAATATCCTTACGATTTATAATCGTTTAATATTATGTTAAAATTAAAGTCAGGGGGCTCGTTTGAGGGAAGTCGAGATTTTAGAAAAATCACGTTCTGCCGTGGTGTCCTTGCGGCTTCGTGGAGAGGAGCCACATGGCGCGCGGAGGACCGTGGAGGACATTATGCGGCTGGGCTGCAGCCGGCGCTGCATCGGTGCAAAATAATGCTCGGAATGCTCGGAATCCGAGGGACCCGTGAGTCTTCCAGTCGGGCCACGGCCATTCATGCCGAATGCCTTTCGGTCCCATCCTTCGGGGTCGGGCGTTATTGTCGAGGAGACTGCCAGCCTGCACCCGCTGGAATCAGTTTTCGCGCGTTCCTCGGCGCCGTGCCGATTACTAAGAACTTAAGCATCTGGCTGAGAGATGGAGACTGGTGGAGGGGAAGGAAAGAAAAAAAATGCTAAAGTTCCTTGAGGCGAGGCGCGAGGTGTCGTGTCCTCGTTTCAACCGCGAGCGCGCCTCGCGTCGTCTGGTCGCGGGGTATTGAAAATCAATATTTTTCCGTTGCGTTTCAGAATGACGAGATGATCGCGAGCCTCCCGGTGAACGGCGGGGGCGGAAGCGGTGGGCCGGTGAACCGCGTGGGGAGAGGCCTGGCCCTTCACAGGTCCAACTCCAGCCTGGAGCTGCCCCACAGTCCGGACCCCAACACCAGGATTCCGGAAACCCCGCTTCGCAGAGAATATGGATCCCACGGTATGTGATATCGTGAACTCGGGTCCTGCATGCGAATTTTTACGACGATCGGCAATCGAATTTTCACGGTAGAAAGTCGAATTTTCACTACGATTGAAATTCGAATTTTCATGATCGAAAGTCGAACTTTCGCGACGATCGAAATTCGAATTTTCACGGCGATCGAAAATCGAATTTTCACGACAGTCGGTGTCCATATTTTCATAACAATCGTATTTCAGGAAGCATAGACATCGTGGCGCAGTCGGCCTCGGTGGGCGAGAACTTCTTCGCCATGCTGCAGGATTTCCGCTCGCCGGACCAGCGAGGACCAACGTCCGCAGACTTTCTGAGACGGGTCCAGGACCAGTCCCCGGACCCGGACGAGGTCTGCGGACCCACCGGGTCCAGCCCCAAGCTGCGTCTTAAGCTGAATCGGCTCTGGGGTGGGAAGCCCCCCCGGGGGGTCGAGGAGACCTGCTCCAGCCCGGTCGTCTCGGCGGACGTCGAGGAGCGACACCGACGACGCGCCTTCGCCCACTACGACTGTCAATCGCTGACAGCCAATTTGGGATACGCCGCGAAACTTCGAGGAGTGCTCCTGGCGAGAAGAAGGAACACCGCGACGGGGGCCTCGGCGGCGAGTTCCTTGAGAGCCTCCACCCCGGACGAGGCCCCCGAAGAGGATGCTGGAGACGGGAAAGGTGAGGTTTGACAATGAGGGGAGATCCAGGTGACGTTTTAGGCGCCTAGTTTCTTTAGGAATTTTTTCCCGGGATTTCTGGAGAAAGTACCTAAAGATCGCTTTCCGTCGATACAGGCAACGAGCTCCTGGAGTCGTGTCCCTTCTTTCGAAACGAGACCGGCGGGGAAGGCGAGAGGGAAGTGGGGCTGACGAGACGGGCCAACACCAACGGCGTGCACCGACCTCCCCTGGCCTATGGGGTCTCGGTCCTGGAGCCACCACCTGGGGAGACCCTCTGGAAGCACACGTGTCCCCTCCAGAAGCGACCTCTGCCGGTCGAGAGCGTCGACGAGGGAGCCCACTACTACCGGAGGTACTTCCTCGGTAAGTGGGCCCACGAGGCTCGCGCGACTCGCGTCGAAGAGCGGCCCGAAGAGATCGACGCGAGTCCCGCCTGGTATCTCCCTCGGAACGGGTTATAGAGTTAATAGGTCCTTCCCGTATGGTCTACAATTACGTGGTTTTCTCACAGGTCGGGAGCACCAGAACTGGTTCGGCATGGACGAGCAACTGGGCCCCGTGGCCATCAGCATCCGCAAGGATGCAAATCAGTATCGAATAATCGTCCGGACCTCGGAATTGCTTACCCTGAGGGGCTCCGTCCCCGAAGAGGCTTTAGGTATAAGACCCCAGGGTAGACCACCGACGAGGGAGCTCCTCGAGCTGGTGGCACCGGAAGTCCAGCTCGGCTGCCTGAGACTCGGCACCCAGGCCGCCGAGGAGGCCGTCGCCAGACTCGACGAGCAAGGGCTCTCCAACAAGTACAAAGTCGGGGTGTTGTACTGCAGATCCGGCCAGAGGACCGAGGAGGAGATGTACAATAACCAGCACGCCGGACCGGCGTTTCTAGAGTTCTTAGACACCATTGGTAGGCGGCCTATTCTTGTCGGCTAAACGAGGAGTAGCAAGAGGGGCTGAGAATTATTTGGTAAAAGCATCTTCGTTTTCTCCCAGGCCAAAGAATAAGACTGCGAGGTTTCGAGGGTTACAAGGCTGGCTTGGACACGAGGACCGACTCCACGGGTACTCATGCCGTTGCAGCGACTCACAGAGGTGCCGACGTCACTTTCCACGTGTCCACCATGTTGCCCTTTACTCCAAACAATAGGCAGCAATTACTTAGGAAGAGGCACATCGGGAACGACATCGTCACAATAGTCTTTCAGGTGAGACCAGCGATTTCGCGCCCTCGAAGGGGTATTCTCACCCAGAAATTTAACGTATCTCAATTTTTATTCATCTACAGGAACCCGGGGCACTGCCTTTTAGTCCTCGCAGGATACGCTCCCAATTCCAGCACGTCTTCGTAATCGTTAAGGCTATCAATCCTTGCACGGAAAATACGCAGTACAGCGTAGCCGTATCCAGGAGCAAGGAAGTTCCGATCTTCGGCCCGCCCGTTCCTCCTGGAGCCACGTTCTCCAAGGGGAAGGCTTTCGCCGACTTCATCCTGGCAAAAGTAATCAATGCCGAAAATGCAGCTCACAGGTATGACACTTGATAATTTTTTTATGCTGCATTTTTTATTTTTTTATTTTTTGTAATGAACGACAGGCTGAATTACGCGTCTTCTAGGTCTGAAAAGTTCGCCACCATGGCGACCAGAACCAGACAGGAGTACTTGAAAGACTTAGCCACGGATTACTCCTCCACCGCGGTTGTCGACACCGGGCAGAAGTTCTGTAAGCCATCTTGTAACTTTTAAACCGATGTCGTTCTCTTCGACGTTTGCTTCGATTATCATCGCTCGTCCTCGTTTCAGCGATGCTGTCGTTCAGCAGCAAGAAGAAGATCCAAGTACGTCCGCGCCTGTCGTGCGATGCCTCGCAACGCGGGGCAATTTGCTGGCAAGTCATCCTGGAGGATAGCAATCAAAATACTGACTGCTACCTCGGCATCAGTATCGACACCATTGTCCTTATCGAGGAGCATTCCCGGCAAATTGTCTTCGTGACTCCCTGCATCAGCGTCCTCGGCTGGCACGCTCAAACCAACAGGTAAATATCACGGATTCCGGGAATTCCATGGACCCTAGGAACCTTTTGGCACGAATCCCCAAACGTAGCAATTTGGACGCACCCTGGTTAAGGATTGACGTCACTTGCATTACGTAATTCCAGCTTACGGCTGTACTATCACCAAGGAGAGTGCATTACGATCCACGTTAGAGGCGATTACGGGGAGAGGGACGAGCTCATGGAGATCGTGGCACGACTTCGAGCCGTGACTCAAGGCTCGCCGGCATCGGAGCTGTCGCTGAAGAGGAACGCTCTGGGACAGCTCGGATTCCACGTGCAGCCTGATGGAGTCGTGACCCAGGTTGAAAGTTTGGGCCTCTCTTGGCAGGCCGGTCTCAGACAGGGTTCTCGTCTCGTGGAGATCTGCAAGGTCGCCGTCTCGACGCTGAGCCACGATCAGATGGTGGACCTCCTCAAGACCAGCGCCCAGGTCACCGTAACCGTGATCCCGCCGACCAACGATGGGAATCCACGAAGGTGTCCGACCTCGCGCTTATAAATTATATTATATACATTATTCAGAATACTTTCGAGGGCGTCTCTAACCATGAACCGTACCTGCCACAGAGGGTGCACCCTGCAGAACTGCCAGTACCTGTCGAATAATTACGAGGGCGATTACGAGAACGTGACGAACCCGGACAGCACGCCTACCCAGCAGACGGCGATGTCCCACCAGAGACGGTACGAAAGATCGTTCAGCCCGCCGAGGTCGAGCAACAGTTCCGGATACGGGACCGGGTCGAGTTCCCGATCGTTCAACGATCCACGGTTTCCCTTGGAGGGTACCATGACCAGCAGCAGTAGCGGACACAGTAGTGCCGACGATCGATGGTGAGTCCCGTAAAAGAAAGCGCTTCCCCGGCTAAGGGAAGCCGTTGGTCGTTGAACTTGGTCAGTAATGTACGGCTCCGTTACAACCCGGTTGCTAAACGGAGTTGGACAGTACTTTTTAAAGGTCTCTGGTAGAAGGACGTGTACTGAAATATTCTCTTCCCGCGCTCTTCAGGTACGAGCTCCTGGAGCCCCAGGACCAGGACTCCACCCATCGACGGGATGGGACGCCTCCACCTTTACCGGCGCGGCAGAATTACCAAGCCGTGACGCCCAGCGGCAAGGGTGGAGTTGGTCAGAGAAAGGAAAAGGAATCTCATTACTCGGGTGCGGGGATCGCGAAGCACTTCAACCACGAGCACTACGCCAAAGAGAACAACTGCGTATCCTCTAGGCTGGGGGAAAGTGCCAGACATGAGAGCTACCATCAACGGTACGAGAACTCCCACCGTGCCCAGGATCACGTAACGGCGAACTACGTGAAACTGCAGAAGGAGAAGTACGAGACGAAGCAGGAGAACTTGTACGCCTCGCAGAGGGAATTGCACCGGAACGACGGGCATGGTCATCAGAAGCTCGCCGTTTCAAGTTCTCTACCTCTGGCCCAGAACCCTGGGTACAGTCTTCCTAAATCCGGGAGCAACAACAACCTCATCAGGTACTTGTTCTGAGGGATATTCCCTCGATCTGATTTTTTTTTTTTTTCATACGACGATTATTTTAAATGTGTCCTAAATCTAGGTACGAGTTTGAGCAGGCTGCAAGCGAACGATCCAAGCACGAGTATGAGTCTGGGAAACCCGACCGGAATTCTAAGTACGAGATCTTCGAGGACAAGATGGTCGAAGGACCGGGTAACAAGTACGATAACGAGGTGAGGTCCCGCGATAAAAGGAGTTACGAAGTGGAGGAGAGCTGTTACGATCGGAGGAGCAAGTACGAGTCGGACGTGGAGTCCCAAAGGACGTCCGAGAGGAAGCACGAGGAAGGGGATGCGAACAGGGACTCGGTTAGGTACGAGGTACCCCAGGAATTCAAGGTCGGAGAGAAGGTAACGTGCCTGAAGACGATCCTGACCGAGAGGCCGGCGCCGCACAAGGTCAGCATCGAATACAGGCCGAAGGATTTCGCATCGAGCTTGCCTCCCGAAGTCGCGAGGGTCGTGGAAAGCAATTCCACAGAAGTTGCGACTTTGCCGAGCGAGGACGAACAGTCGAACGGGTCGGGAAACGTTTCTCCGAGGCTGAGGAGGGCGAACACCAAACACCGAGGAGGTAATCTCACGCCATCCAGCGGTAGCTCCAGGAATCACAGCCCCAGGCCCAAACTGGGAGTCAGGAACTCCCACAGGAACTCTGCCAACCTGACCTCGAGCACTCTTCAAGAAGACCTCATGAAGCTGATCAACCCCGACTACATTGCCGACGAGACGCAGGTGTCGAACAACAACGTGACCAACGTCCTGGGGAACAACCAGAATTCCAACAAGCTGAACAATAATCTCATCGAGATACAGAACAGGTGCAGGTCTAGGGAGAATCTGTGCGGCAACAGCACCTCCACCTTGAGCGTTCTGCCGACCAACGAGCAAGAGAACGGGAACACTGGGTCCGAGGTGATCTTAACAATGGCCAGACCTGCTACCGTCATCTCCAATGCGAGCACCGCTTCCAGCCCTGCACCCAGCGAGAATAAAATGTCCAAAGAGGAGAGGTGAATACAACTCCCCTTGTTCTAACATGCGACCTGAACACGCTGTGCATTAATTTCCCTAACGACTTCCAGGCTCTCTCCGCGCGTCACGAAGTCGCCGCACTGCGTCGCGAAGCCTCCCAGCAGCCTTGCCACGGTGAGGGACACGAAGCATCAGACTGAGAATGATTCCGAATGTTGGACGAGCCATCACGGGGATGCGAACAACCCCAGAGTCGGGAAGCACGGACAGGATCGCCAGGACGAAAGACTCAACGACGGGTCGAACTCTATAACGTAGGAACCTTCTACCGGCACTTCTGAGCTTCACCTGGCTCTCCTTCATGGATTTCTTTTTACTAAGACTATCGTTTCCAGGAATGCCGTCTCGGACTTGCAGACGCATTTGTCTACCTTGGAGCTAAGGGTAGCCAGGGAGACTCGCAGGCGCCTCTCGTTGGAGGACGAAGTGCGTAGACTAAGAGATGAGAACCGGCGTTTACAGGACGAGAGTCACGCAGCTGCCCAGCAGCTGCGGCGCTTCACCGAGTGGTTTTTTCAGACCATAGATCATCAATAACTCGTTGCCTCGGATGGCGAACGCGTTAAGTTGCGAGGTAACGGCGAGACATGTAATTGCTACGTTTTTTCCCTGTCCTCGTCTGTATCGAAATGACTACGTTCGTCTCTTTATTTGCAAAGAGTCGCACGGTGTACCGCTGCTCGGCGGAATCGGTGTCGCAATGGCGTCTCCGCTGGCCCCAAGGAATATCGCGCGATTATCGGACCCCGTAATCGATATGTAAATGCAGTATTAACGTCGCCCCTCGAGTATCATCTTTAAAGTGGTTTAAAGACGATCCGCGTAGGCTTTCGTGAAGGATTCGCCCTGTGACCTGTGCCCCGTAACCGCGAGTCGCGAATTGGCCTAGATCCTTTGTAACATACGTTTTCATTTTTACTAAGGATAAGTGTAATGTGTAAGTTACCATCACGTCGTACTTTATCCCGGATGAAAAGGAAAAAGGAGGGAAAAAAAGAAAAGGATCATCTTATCGCGCGCATCGAAGCGGTCGCGTTCGGCCAACTTTTCGGGAGCCATCTTGATGGGTCGGACGGGACGAATCTTAAGCGTTTAATGTTATGTTTTAAAGCGACCAATGACCAAATATTACTGTTACACTGAGAGTTACTCCGTTTGCTCTGTAATTTATTACGTTTTCATTATTTCTTTTTTTTTTATAACTACGAGGATATATATATTAAGTGGATAATATTCAGTTAACGTCGCGACACCTCGTGGTTAAACCGACAAACTTTCCGACTCTGCTTCGGTAATCCGAGGGAAAACTCGGCATTTCTAACCGTGCAGTTGAATGGGAGAAAAAGAAAAGAGAGAGAGATCGTTTCATTACGAACATTCGAGATGCCCTCGACTTTTAGGAACGATTCCCAAACCGGGACCCGGTAAAGAAATTCTCGGTGACCGGCGAAGATGCAGGAGCATCTCGTTTACTGATTATTGGCCTTTAAACGCTTCTTGGGACGATCTCGGGACGTCCCGTTATATGCAAATGACCAGGCCAGGCGCGTCTCCGAAGGCTCAAGAGACCAGCGCCCGAAAGGGAGTGGAGGAGGATGTAGCGTTTCACCGTGAAGTAGAATAAAAATAGTTTATTGTAATCCACAGAAAAAACAAGACATTCTCTCGATGTCTTATACAACTCACTGTTCTGTCAGTTAACAATTAACTGCAATTACATCCTACTCGAGACCACCGGGAAACTAAACGGAACGAAAGATTTTAGGTTGCGAGCCCGAACCAGGTGGATCGACGCGAAGGATTCCTCGTCAGGGACGTTTCCCTCTCGCATGCTTTTCCACTCCGAAATTGCCAAATCGAATCAACGACAGTAAATAGCCAAGACCGAAGCCGAACGTTCGTACCTCATCCAGCGCGATGTCCGCCCTAAACAACGCATTCCTTCGCTTCTTTTTCTTTCCTTCTTTTCTTCCCATCAAAGTGCCGCCATCACCTACCGAAACGATTCGTCGCCTTGAGAAGTACCTTTTACACAAGATAAAATGAGGTCCTATATTTATACAATGTACAATATACACTTAGCACCAGGATCGGTTTAGGCGACGAGGAATACACGTAAAGGTACAATTTAATCCAACAATCGAGGTGCTAGAGCGCGCGCGCGGTCTCATAAAAATAAATACAATCCGTTATATAATATATCCGATATTACAAAAGGACGCACTATACAGAATTTATACAATTATTCCCGTCTACTTGGAACTTATAATTTACAATTTAAACTGCAATTTCGAGCCAACGTCGAGGCGAGCCGCGGGTAGACGTGACGTGTAATAAGATCTCGGATATAGATTTACCTCTTGCCCGTAATCACTGCTTCTGAAATGGAAATAATCCGAACGAGTCCTCTTACTTGGATATATTCTCTAGGAAAAAAAAAAAGCTCTAATGCGCGCGTTGTAATTCATGCCCACGAATAACTCGAAACTCCATTACGCGTTACGTCTATTCTTCGTTCCGTCACGAGAGAAGGATTTACTTCCCGTCGATCTTAATCATGATCACCTTTACGGAGCACGCCGAACCTCCGGTATACAACACTATAATTGCCCTCAAAGTCGGAAATGGTTCCGTATATAATTTTTCTTTTTTTTCCCCCTTCGAACCAGAATCGAGTATATCTATATTACGCGTTCGAGTACGAATAGACTGTCGTCGGGTGTTTAAAAGTTAACATAATTATCGTTATAACGTATCACTGGTGCTACAGCTCGCAGCCAAGCCGTTTTTCTTTTTTCTCTTCGTCGTAAGTACATTAAGTATGTCCGCCTTACGGCGTAAAACGGTTTCCATCATTTTTTCATCCTCCTCCTCCTTACATCACTAGTAGCTTCTTACATGTCTAGTTTTACATATGCCCCCATGGAAGTTGGATTTTCGATTTGATTAAAGGTGATACGTGGATTATGCTCACCGGATTAAGCACGAAGACTTGGAGCTAAACGTGTACGGATAACATCGAATACGACGTCTCGATCGTAAAGTAATCTTATCGTAACCAATCGTACTTTTCGTGCTAAATTGCAGATCAAAGGAAAGCCGTTCCGAATCGAGCAACCAAGCAGACGACTAAACGCACTGTTCATCAGGAAACTACCGGTAAAGTATGAGCATCTCGATAAGCAGACAGTCGTGTAAAATATAAATATGTATAGAGTTAATGTACAACATTATATTTGTATTAAATATATCTTTAATATACAACAGTGTATATTAGACGCGTTATGCCGTACCAGGAAAGGCTCATCGGGGTCGGATCAACGAGAAATGCCTTCTAAGGGGACTCACAGGGTCTGGAGATTCTTGCCTTAAGGCCGAGTCTACCAACTTCATCTATGTACACTTCAAGATCACCGAGAAAGGTAAGAGAAAAATATCAGATCGAAGGGAATGAAAAAAAAAAAGAAAAAAAAAGATGCGAATGGAGGGTAATATGTGATGGATATCATCCATGGTGATGATCGCGAAGCCGAGGGTGTTAAGAAAAAAAAAAAGCAGTTTATCAATAAAATAAATTAATGTCTCCACCAAGACGTAGAAAGGGTGGACCCAAACGCAAGTAAGCCCGCTTAACGACTAAAGCGGAATTTACGATCACTAATAATATCGATGCCCAAGAAACTAAGGCAAGGTAATTCACATCGGTCTCGTACACGTAATCGCAACGTATCGTCCGAAAATAAAAAAAAAATAAAAATTAATTTGCATGTAAGGCAATATTTTGCAATGCTCAAATTCCATTAAAAGTTCGCCCGACGCGAAATTAAATAGCGGACTGCAGAGTGTCGGTGACTCGTTATTAAATGAAATACTGCTTCGTTAATATGACTGTCCGTAACATTGTTAACACGGACACGTAATGCCTCCGCGATCGCGTGCATTTAATAACGACTCCGCGACGAAAAATACTGAAAGTGACTATTTCACCTCAAGCAAGAGCGTAATTATCTAGGTAATATTTTTACCTTTCATTTAACAAGAGAGTTGCCACAACGTAACGGCTCGACTTTAAAATAGATTTAGTAAGTGACGATAAATAATCGATTCGTTCGTTATTGCAATGATCAACTTATAAATTGCTCCTTCGATTGAAGACCCTGTACCTTGAATTAATTCCGAGGCATACAAGACTCTCGTCGAGCGAAAGGACCATTCGCGTTTTCCGTATAAATAAATATACTATATATCCTATAATTTGCAACTTATATATATACAAATTTCATGCGCGCGTATAAATTATTATCATCAAATATATATAATACAGGAGAATGTGAGGTGTCTCGTTGGACGGGGGTCCTCGTTCTCGGAGTTAATTCAAAGTTTGCGATATATCCGCGTAGTCTTAAAGAAGTACTTGAAAAAAGTTAACAATGCCTCTCGAACCGCACAAATTTTTGCCTAAATCTACAAGATTTTCGCTTCGAAGCAGCCCAGATCTGCCACCCATAAACGATCCTCGAATACTGTTTGAATACTAACAACGTCACTGTACAATCCCATAAGAATGGTAATAAATTAGAGCAGCATCACGAGGACGTTACAGTGATAAAATATTTTTCTTCCAATACTTATTATAATACGGAGCGATCTCAATCGGGTGGCCACGAGGGTGTATCGCGTCCCTTTAAAAATGTTATCCAGGTAATTATGCACATCGGGCCGACGGATAAAAATAAATTCGCGGTGAACATCCGGAAAGCCATTCGCTGGAACTTCCCACTTTCCGGAACAATTTGCCAGGCGAACGTTACGTGGCGCTTACGTCGACACCGCCAAAATGGCAAGACAAAGTTGTAGCTCGACGGACATATCCTGGGCCGACATAAATTAGTTATCCAGGCCGCGACGAGGATACGCAAGGGGAAATATCTGGCTCCACCAGTTTGACATATCCCATCTAATACGACACACATCGTTTCTACGGTCGTTCGTTAAGACTATCATTAGTTAGAGGTGCTCGCGAGCGGAGAGAGAAGAAAACGTCACAGAATTTGACAAGGAATGGCGAACGAACCGAGCAAAAAATTCACTCCTTTCCTGCCCGGCTCGTCCACGCCGTTACCGGTTACAAATTTCCATTACAACTCTCGGTACACGGGAGAAAAAGAAAATCTAAAAGTCCCTCGACTTAAAGGAGATTCAGCGCGTGGCAAGGGACATTTGCATACCACCAGCGATAACGAGTGTACACGTAGTACCGAGAATCAGTTTCATCGGCAAGCGAGAATTCTTCTCCAACTACTCGCTAAGTCCGCGCCTTCCATTGTCGTTACGATTATCAACTACGACCTACTAATAGTTTATAGCGTATAATATTGTATATAGTATATCTTCAGCATCACAGTAAGATAGCGCCCTTCAATTGTTACGTGAAATCCGTGTCGATCTCGCCGCAGATCCTCTTTTCTCAATCTCAATTCTCCTTTCCCTTCATTATATTAATTTCCATCAACAAACCTACCCTACAACAACCCGTCTAACATTATCAAGACTTCGACACCCTAGTTAGGCGTAATTTACGTACTGAGTACCGCAACAGCGGTTGGGACGACCTCGGAATCCCGTCGAGGGAATCGAACGGTTTTCACCAATTGCAATTCCCCGCTCGGTGCATTAGTTTAGAAACTGATCGGAGAGTTCGATTAAAGAGTCTGCCGTTGAAAAAAAAAAAGAAAAAAAAGAAAAGGGAAGCGTCCAATTCCGTCGACCCAATTGCGAGGCCGTTCCAACTCCTGGTGCTCCGTTTGCAAAAACTCGTGAGGTAATCAATCGGGAGGGTGGGCTCGGGGGAGGAAAGGACTCAACGACCGCCCGAGGGAGGTAATGGAGGTGTCTCTACGTGAGAGTCGTTATCAATTAATTGGATAAAACCGAAGGAGACTACAAGAGGGTCTCCCATTGTCGGTCGTTCGCAAGTCCGCGACCATTATAAACAACGGCAATCCCAAAGAGAGGATTGACCCGGTTAGACCCGTTACTTCGTTATCCTCTTAAGCGTGTTTCCGTAGGATAAAAAAAAAATATAAAATACAAAAGGAGAACAGAAAAGATCTACCGCGGTTGGCTGACTAATGTGATGAAACCCATAGAAATTGAAATCGATCGTTACCCATTGATTCTCAGTCCGCGCGTGAGAGGAGGAAAAGCGTTCGCGTGGAGTAGCCAAAGGAAATCAGGTAGGACCTATATAAATACACGTTTAAGAATTAATCCGAACAAACAAAATAAATAGTTATAAAAATAAGCGAGCATTTGATGCTTAAGATATATCTTATCTAGAGAGAGAGAGAGAAAAAAAAAAAGACCCTAATTAGTTTGCACCACCTACGGAGTGGAATGTTTACGGTTTCACTTAACTAGAATCGTAAAAGCGTCATTTCTAAAACGATAAGTTCAACTACCGTGCATAGGGAAAGAGAATCTATCAACGATTATCTCGTGGATCAATAAATAAGCAAGAGAGTGCAACAAGGGACGATTCAGATAAGCGTAGAATCATGGGCTGGGTCTGACTACGACTGCCAACATTTACAATTTGCAGAACATACATAAAAGGTACATTGTCTCGAGCAAACGCTCGATGCAATTGATTTTTCCCTCTAATTTCTAGCATCGAGATTTCGCTACCGCGTCTTAACAAAAGTCTTGAATGTCGAGATATAAAAAACGATCAAAACGCTCATCCGCGTCGATTAAATAATCATAAATACAGGGCATAATTTAACGTCGTGATATCGACAAGGCATAGATAAAAAGAATAAGAAAAATACATCGTTAATTAATAATTACGCTCATTTCCAATCCATCACGGTGATTGCTCATCTTTAACAAGTTGACACACCGAAATTCGAGATAGAGAACCCTACACTTAAGACACTCGAAAATGCCCACGATCTACGCCATGATTCATAACTTAAATACGAGAAAACCTTTTTGTACTCTTCTACAAACTTTACTTCGTACTTGTTTAACATACTTCTAACGATAATATCGCCTTACTATGTCACCGAGACGTAGGCTTCATCCTGGTCTATACTGGGCACGTTGTAGGATCGGAAGGTGGGCTAACGAATCGAATTAGCGAAGACCGTCCTGTGAGATAGCAGTCATTTGGAGACATCGTTCCGTGCGAGCAACGTCATTCCCTATCCCCAACAAAGCATTTCCTGCGCTCTGTATAAAATAATACCGACTGTAGACTGATCTTTGAAATCTCGTTCATACCCAAAATAAATAAGATCGTAAACAGTTATCACTGTTACGACTCGCTTCCCTGCAGGGTATTTTCTAAAACAACGAAACATTCATAGAAAGCTCCACGCAAAAGCGTGGTGCCGTTAGCCCATCTCCTTTTATGTCATAATGCTCGCTCGAGTAGCACGTAGTAGTACGCAGTACTCGAGCGAGTTTACTCTGGTTCCATTGTACCGTACGAACCGTACCATCAAACGCGGTACAATGGCGAACGACCAGCACCGGAGGGAATAAAAATTAAAACAGATAGAACCTGACCCATGCACTGCGGAGCCTTGCTCGTTCAACGCCTGTACTACTCAAGTGCGCAACCTTGAATCGGGAATAACCCTTGAATTGGAACTTAGACCGCATGCAGGGTACCGGCTCGTCCTCGAGAAATGGATCTTTTATGGGAACGGAAGGCGAGACGGCGTCCGCTCAATACTTGACTATGCCGAAACGGCAGTCGAAGACCTTATGCTATTCCCGCCGCGTCCTTTTAGGACGCTGACTGACTCCGACCTCGTCGCCGCCGCGCGACTTCTTACCGATTTGTACCTGGCTCTGGGCTGTCAGCTGTAGCGATATCGCGTGAGTGTTGAGCTTCTCCGCCAATAAAAGATCCTTCAATCCTTTCATCTTCTGGCTGTAGAGCGTGATCCGTGGCCTGTCGCTCTCCGACTCGGACTCGACTTCCGGGTCCAGGTCTTCTTGGGACGTGGACGGCGCCGGAGGGAGGTCGTCCTCCGGAGGAGCCACGAAGGGCTCCCCGTCCCCTTGCAGCAAATAGTCCCTGTTCAGGATCTTTTCACTGCAGGCGGCGGTCAAAGCCTGGATGCTGGGGTGCATGGGTGCAGGATTAGCCGGCACCTTCGACTCCAAGCTCTTGATCAAATCCCGAGCCGCGTTACCCCTTTCCTTCGTTTTACAGTAATTATTGTTGTTGTTGTTATTGTTATTCAGGGCCTCTTCGGGACTGGTCTCGCGCTTCTGCGACCTCTCCTCATCTTGTCGAGCCTCGGCGTCGTAGCACTCGATGACCACTTGCGCCCTGATTCCGGCGTCGAACTTGGAAATGGTGTTGACGAGCGGTCTTGCCCATCCTATGTGCAGGACTGGAGTGTTTGCCCCTTCTTCCCACTGGCAGATCCCGTCGTAAAAACGTAAGAGATACGCGAAGCAACGGGGCTGACGTAACAAACGCTCGTCCGCCCTCACCGTGTGCGGTATCAATTCGTTGGCGATCTCCAGTAATTCCTTGTAAATCTCGCCGTCGTCCCGAGAGTAATCGTATCTATCGTCGCACATTCGGTCAGATTAGTATATGATTAAAACGATTAGGAAGAAACGATGAATTAAGTTACACTTAAAAACCGATTTTTCATACTTCATGTAATTAACTTAGATAATTATATATAAGGTTATGCGTGATAAAACCTTCATTGAAGTGACCCACATGAATATGTAATGGACGTTTGAAATGTGAACTCAAAGAATATTAGAAAATTTAATTAATTATTGGTAGAATTAAATATTGTAAGGATTCGTAAATTTGATTAATTAAAATAATTTATAAGTGACTTACTTCCTCAGGACGTCTGCTGCATCCGCCCAAGATGCCAATGCATTAGCATGCAGTCCATGTCGATAAAGATATCCTCCTTGATAGGTGTATGGATAAACATGTGCATTTCCGTAATATTTTCTCGCGGACCGAACCGCTTCCTGCAATTATTAACCAATTATGTAACTTTCAGTTATAATTTATATTCATTCCAAAAATATTTACTTTTGTGCCAGTGAATAAAATACCTGAAACAAGTCAATGGCCGGTGGTCTGCCAGGAGTGGGTGCCGCTTCCTCCAAATCACCCAGGTTTCCTAAAGCCATTGGATACTTTGCAAGGTGTCCGAGATCGTAGAGAAGCCATAATAATTCTTGTTGAAGCAGTGCCACCTCGGCTGCATCTGCAGTCGCACTAAGACTAGGATTTATGGCAGAGACTATCGTAGCGACTTCCATCGCTCGAGAGCATACGACTGCCTGACCGTTAACATACAACCATGATCGAGATGCTACGCCAGGTTCCACGGGCTGACCCCGTTTGTCTTCGTTACCTTTTCCTGATAATCGAAGAAACAATTTACTCCCATGATTAACGCAACAATTCTCTCATTCAAAGATTTCAGTGTTTTGATTATCCGAGCAGAGTTCGATCGTATTTTAAATTTTGACAAATAGTAATTTGCATCAATTAAACAATTTCAAATATTTTCATCTCGATGAAAATTGAAATGCAAGTACGTTCACTGTATACTCAATAGTAATTTAACTAAGATTTTGAAGCACGAAAATATTACGGATCAAATTACATGTAATCTTCCGAGTAAGCCAATTTCCGAAGATGTAGGCGAATCTGATTTGCTCCACGGTGAGAAAGACGTACAAAAGTATCTTGAAGCGACGCTCGTACCTATAAACCCAAATCTGGTAAATTTAATGACTATTTAACGTACATAATCCTGTTACATCAAATGTACGAATCGACAAGACTGGCCGACATTAATTACCATGCATCGAAAAAGTTAATACTCGACTCGTGCACACATTCTCAACATCGTCGACCCACATACTTTTATCGCCGATTATTATTATTATAATTTATCTAAAATGCATCACGCCGATCGAACGCATGCTCAGAGTTTGCATTTATAAATATTTGCTTTCAGATGTCTTACCGTGCCAAGTGACCTCGGCAGTCTCGGTACCGTTTTCCCCGTATACGACCCAAGCGTGGTCTTCGGACATAGCCAGATGTACGTCCTTGAATCCAAGGACTTGACAGCCGGCTACGACAGCAAATGCTACGCCGAAGCAATCAAGCTTATTAGCGGTGAGGTAACTGTACAGGCTCTGAAGATGAGCCCGATCTTTGTAGTAGCTCCTCGTAAGGGAATTCCATATGACGTCGGACACCTTTTTAACGAGTTCTCTGGTGGCATATTTGGTGTCGTAGACCGTGAGGTCGACTGCACCTTTAATGACGGCATGGAACTTAGTGTAGAGAGCCTCGGCGATGTGGTATTCGACCGCTGGCAATTTGGGCTCGTCGTAGACGGTGTTCTCTTGCGAAGCGAAGGCCCGATTGCAGGTTAGGGAATTTTCAACGGCGCCTACCAAGATCGAGAGCAGCGCCAGGTCGGGCTCCGCGTTGTTCTCGAGCTGATTCTGGAAGATGCGGACGATCGCGGAGATGCTCTGGATCGGGAAAAGCGCCTTGTCCTCTTCGCGGAAGCCCGCCATACCGCCAGGTGATGACCCCCTCGCGGGTGCCCTGGAGAAGCGCGCGATCTTCCTTGCACTCACGGGTCCCTCACTCTCCCGTCAACGTCGTCATTAGGTTTCGCGGCTTTCCTGACAGAAACTTACGGCGAATCGCGGCTGGCCAATGACAATCCTATCCCTCGGCGAGCGTCAAGGCTTTGCTTACGATCCTCTGCAGGCCGCTCTCGCGAAATTTCAACATTTCCTCGGCGAGAGACGCATCGAGCAATTGGCGGCACGCCGCCATTAACGAGCCCTCCGGACCGCTCCGATTCTGTCTCGAACTCTCCTTCCAAGATGCACTTCGCCGCTCATCTTCTCAGCCCGATTGTTGGCGGCACTGCGGCCAGCTGCAAGGTTATGCACCTGCAGATGCAGTCGTTAACTGTGCTCTCGTGCAGGTGGATATGCAATCCTTTCATTGGTCAAGGGCGTCAGGAAATTGCGCGTCTTTTCCGAACTGCAGTTCCCCCGCCAATCGGAAGGGGGAGCGCCCTATCGATTGGTATCGACCGTTACTATCGATACTATCGTCGCCATCTTGGGCGCATTTTTGCGAACTCGCTTCGCGATAATTTCAGCGCTTCGTTTAAATATGCTTCCCCTGAATTAGGTAACGTTTCTACGACTTCGTGGTATATAAAAATGACTTTTATTTCCTAATGTACAAACCTAAGTTAACGACCGATTTTTAATTGCTATTACTTATAGTATCACTAAATGCAGGTAGCGGGATCAGTCGTTCAAGTAATTCCCTACATCTGTATCTACAAGGACTATGGTACACGATCTTACACCGACTACGTGATTTATAAAAATAAGATCCTTCATAGCAATATTTTTGAAAGTACGCCGTTTAATAGCGATCCTATTTATCACGATGCATGCTTCGAGTTTCGAAATTAAAATATGATGGTACTTCCGTTTCAGCTACGAAAATATTTGGACGGTTTTAATTCTGATCTTCGCGAGAACTGAATTCCCGACATCTCAACGTCGCTGCCTCAACAGCACCTATGACCGCAGACCTCAACCCATGACTCTCTAAATAGTGAATCGCTGTTATAGTCGAGCCTGAAATGCGATAAAAAATATTAACGTGTAACAGCGTTTATAAAATTAATTTTTCCTGTGCTTTCTTACCTGCAGGAGACGCCACGTCGTCCTTTAACTGTCCAGGATGAGTATTCGTCTCGCGAACCATCGTCCCTGCTCCAAGAACGGTTTGGGCCGCTAATTTGTAAGCTATTGGCCTCATCAGACCCATCTTCACCGCTCCGTCAGCTAGTGCCTCAATCATCATGTAAACCTATCAGTTAAGTATAAAAACGTTTGTACAAGCAATGAAAATGAATAATTTGTGAACTAACATCCTGTACTCTCCAAGGCAACGTAAATAACAGGACTTACATAAGCAGGACCGGACCCGGCCAATGCGGTCACAGGGTCTATCATATTTTCTGTAACTTCTTCACATAAACCAACCGCAGAGAATAATTTCTCTGCAATTTTCGCGTCTTCTTTGCCAGCATTTTTGCCACGAGCGTAAACACTGGCACCGCAACCCACCAAAGCTGGAGTGTTGGGCATTACCCTGATTACTGGAGTTCCCTCTGGCAAAGCCTGTAGAGATGTTTTTATATATATATATATATTTAACGGCTTATAAATGAGAAATATTTCGATAGAAATAAAATATCCACCTGTTCTAGAGTACGGAGTGGAATACCCATGGCAATGGAGAGTAATAATTTTTTACTGTCTTTTATTTCAGGTAGAACTTCCGGTACCACTTGCGGCTTCACGGACAAGATCAGAATATCGCCATATTCGACTACGGGCTTATTCGTGAATACCGTTTGCGAGCCTATTTCCTGAAATTATGGGAAATTATTCATAAGAGCTTGAATGCCGAATTAGCGGAATGCTTTTCGCGGTTTAAATCCAACCAGCACAAACTGGAGAAGCCCGCTTATCAAAGAATCGTTAATAACACGATCCGATTCGGATACAGATTAAAGTGGTTTGTCTGGGGATTTATCGAGCATTCACTCTTATTAACTGCACGGGCCTCTTGTATGAGCTGGCGTACATGAATTTGTCAAACCTTATCGTCTCTTATCGCGAGGGAAACATTTTTTCGGCGCAACTTTGCACAAAGACACGCGATGCGCCAACGAGGGGATTGCATCTCGAGACTTTTTTATTCTCGCGGTCCCTTGTATCCGATAGTACAATACATAGGAATGACGTTTCCATAATTGCATTTTATAATAAAATAACAAGAATCTTACTTTGAAGGCTTCGATGCTTCCCATGTCGTTCGGAAGACAACTCGCCAGCATCATCTCACCTTTGCTCAAACCTGAAGAAAACGATTAGCGACGTTTTAATTTAATAAATTAAAGTTATCGCAGTAAGCAGAAATCGATCAATTTAAAGCTCGAAGGCTTTACCGAGGGTGCACTTTGTGAAATATTTAACACGATGTTAAAATACTTACCCGCTTTGATGAAACCTTTGGCGAGGGCCTGCGCCATTTTACCGCCGCCGAGGAAACCAATTTTGAACATGATTTTGGCAATTTGATAATTTTCCCGTAGAGCTGGTTTTAAGTTGGTGTTTTCAATTGGTGAATGCTTCGGGCAATTTTCCGAATGTCGCTTCTCTCGCGGATTGCATGTAGACCTCTGCTTTACATGCAGAAATACACAGTTCGAGCGAAGTAAACAGACTGGAGCGTAATCTCGAATGGCTGCTTAATTTCCTTCCTTCTCGACAGTGTGCCACAAGAGTGAGATAGTTAACTACACTGTGTTAGTTTCTTAATGAGATGGGCTGGAAATTTTATGTAATTACTCCTTGATAACAAAGCAACACTTCCAAGAGAACTACTATTTTTCGGTAATCGCCACGAAGGTGCAAAGTGCAAGAGAGATTTTTCCTAATGTTCCATTAGTATTTCTATTTTCTAATTTAGGTACATTCACTGTCAATTATTATTCACAATCGTTTAAATGGTAATAAAAAAAAATCCTCAGAAAATCGCTCGAGTCTTGTATTACTGCATATTTTGGATATTCATTCAATATAAATTTATTTTAATTTTCATAGATGAAGATAGTGAAAATCTGTACGCGCTCCGTTTTTACGAGTATTTTTAAGTCGGAAGTCCATCTTCTTGGGTTATCTTCTTTAACCCCTGTACTCCAGATTTAATACTTATCGGTGATGCGAGTTCTGTCAGAGAAGTACAAGCTACACATCACTTGTATGTGCCTCTTCATTTACAGTTGATAAATATCTCAAGGCTTGTATATAATTAGAACGGTGATTCACGTATAGCACATTAAGTATTGCACACTTTTTTTAATTTACGGGTGTGATAAAAATCATAATTCATTGTTCAGGTTGTAGATACGGTATTTTAGTTCTGTGTTGAATTTAGGACTGATTGTCAGGGTGTGGAAAATTCGGAACTACTGTTTATCCTATACAATCTCAAATCAAACAAACAATCTTATCTGCCTCGTCGACGCACGTGGCTTACGCATAATGCTTAGGAATATGCAGTTATTATGTGGTGATTTATATATTCTTGTTACGAAATATCAGTACTTATGTGGTACGTATATTGTGGACATTTTTTGTTCTTTCAGTCACCACGAATCCGATGTTAGTGTTTTTAACTTACAGCTATTTAAATTTACCGCCAAGTTTGTATTCAGGATAATCGTTTCGGGAGGAAGTCTAAAATTCCCTAGATCGGTCATAGGGAAGTTTTCCATTGATGTCTCTGTTCTAAATTTTCTGAACACTTTCCTGTCAGGGTGGGTGGGGTTGTTAATGTTCACTGTGCAATAAACAATACTATTTTAGAAACAGTATCAACTCAAAATAAATAGAAGTTTTATTATAATTTCATCTACCTAATTAGACACGCTACAATGGTAAGATTTACGAAGAAACCCATTTTTTTCTGAAACTATATTAATAATCACGTGCTGCCTTATAAGGAAATATGATTTGTAATTTTAGAAATTGTACGCTCGTGCGTACAATTTCATTGTAAATTAAATTAGACGACGTGTGATTGATCGGTAGAAGTAGTTTCTTTGTCAGAAAACAATTTGTTTATTATGTGAACTTTCGATGACTCATAAGTGCATTCGCTTTATATAGCAAAATCCAAATGAACATACTCAATGGAACGACATTTTGAGAAGTCATGGGATCCTTCCTCAAAAGGAGAAGGAAATCACAGAAGACCAAATCGTTAATATTGTAGAAGATACAATAAATGAAAAGACTGGACGCAGTGAGTTTGTAGCGATAAAACAAGGGAGTCATTCTCTTGGCAGTAACTTTTACAATTGAATTTATTTGTTAATGAAACAGCTCAGAATGATTTGCAAGAGAAGACACTCGATGAATTGGACGAGCTGGAAGACGAAGAAGATGAAAGGGTTCTTCTGGAGTACCGACAAAAGAGAATAGCCGAGATGCAGCAGTTAGCAAAGGAGGCAAAGTATGGAGAAGTCAGAGAAATTTCAGCCCAAGATTATGTTCAAGAAATTAATAAGGCACCAGAGGGCCTTTGGGTTATTCTACACCTTTATAAACCAGGGTATGCGGCATATTTTTAATGATACAAAATTTATCCTTAGATATAGTAGTTCTTATGATTGTGTCAATACTTAGGCGGAATCGTCAAATATTCACAAAAGTATAAATTGTACTTTACATATTTCAGAATACCTCTGTGTACGTTGGTGAACCAATATTTGACTTCGCTAGCACGAAAATTCCCAGCCACAAAATTCCTAAAAAGTGTCTCGACGACTTGTATACCAAATTGGCCAGACAGCAATCTTCCTACTATATTTATATATAATAATGGAAATATGATAAAACAAATAATTGGTCCAATAGAACTACGAGGCATGAAACTAACGGAAGAAGGTACATATTTTAACTTCATAAATATGGATTAATTGATGAACTGATTATTACATATACATTTTTAGAACTAGAATGGATGCTTGGCGAAGCCAAAGCTGTATCAACCAAAATCACCGAAGATCCAAAACCGAAGGTTCGGGATGTTTTGTTTTCAACATTAAAGAATCGAAATGATGATCTTGCAGAGCACAATGATTGGTAAATGCCATATTTATTGTTCAGAGATACCATACTCTAAACAGGAGAAACAATACTAATCACAAGTTTCAACATTCACACAGGATTATTTATTTATATTTATATGTACAGAATACCGCAATGCCATTACATTCAATAAAATATATTGTTATTTATTAGGACTTCCTTAATGATATCTAAACTAGTTTTAAGGACTACTAAAATACAGATATGAGTTGGGAGGAGAGATGAGAACAGAGATGAGTTGGGAGATTGCTCACGGGCAGGGCCGCGCGATCGCACCCTGTACTGCCCTCTGATTTAGTACGTTAGCTTTCACCGTTTTTTGCCCCCAAGGGCGGCGCAACGAATTTCTGATAGGAGCTCGCGCACTCGCGATGACGGTACCATCTACCAGTCGCCGGTGGCGGCTCACGTACTCGTGATGGTAATACCATGCGTCAGTTGACGGTGGTGGCTTACCTACGCTTACCAACACTGCTCGCTTTTGAGGGCAAGGGAAGAACATTCGTAACGCTCCATTAGACTTTATTTACTTATCTACTACTATTAAGTACATTGTTGCCTCGATGTCGACGTGATGCGGAGCTTTGGGGCACGCGTCGGTGTCGCGTACGGAACTCTCATGCAGCGAATCTGTGTGAGTGCGATTGCTCCTAGAATTCTTCGCGCGTCCCAACCAGTCAAGCGCCAAACTACGGGTCGAGACGTTGAGTATGTGTGCGTTCAGCGCTACACTCGACGAGTACGCGACACCGACGTGTGCCCCAAAGCTCCGCATCACGTCGACTTCGAGGCAACAATGCACGTAATAGTACTTAATAGTAGTAGATAAGTAGATAAAGTCAAATTGAGCGTCACGAGTGTTCTTCCCTTACCATCAAAAGCGAGCAGTGTCGGTAAGCGTAGGTAAGCCACCACGGTCAATTGCCGCATGGTATTACCGTCACGAGTACGTGAGCCGTCAACGGCGACTTGTAGATGGTACCGCCATCGCGAGTACGCGAGCTCCTATCAGAAATTCGTTGTGCCGCCCTTGGGGGCAAAAAACGGTGAAAGCTAACGTACGAAACCAGAGGGCAGCACAGGTTGCGATCGCACGATCCTGCCCGTGAGCAATCTCCCAACTCATCTCTGTTCATGAACCGGTTGCGAGATCACTGTTATGTGCTGCTCCTTGCGGAATTCTGGGCCAAACAATACACGTACGGCAGGTAACGATCGCTGTACCTGAGAAACCAAAGATAATTTTGTAATATTCATATTTATGAAAAAATGTGATAACCGACGTTGCCATCATTATACAGGTAACATTTGTATTTTATTTGTGTTATAGATAAGACGTAATACTTTTTCTCACGTGCATTACCAGATCAGGTTCTTCGTGAAATTTCTTCCGGTTTTTTTATTTGGAATCGATGACAACGCCCTCAGTAGTGAAATGTGAAATTACAGGCTTTTCAGTGGTGACGTCGGAGGGCGCTGTAGGGATGACCGCGTTGCGCCTGCGGCTGCGTTCACTCAGTTACGATCACGAAGCCAGCGCTGAGTAGCATCGTTGAAGGATTCTTAGTGCTCTTAATCGTATGTTCATCTTTTACATGGAGATAAGGAGGAAAAGAAGCCAATACTTTAGTCAGTAGCCGTTGGACACTGTCAAAGTGATCGAAGTGGAGCCATCAGTCGAGTTTTGGTCGGTTGAATCAATCGAAGGCCTACTTGGATCTAGCGATATCAGCCGCGAGCGAGGCGCCACTAGCGCGCTCTGTGGTAATAATCGTTAAACCATTCTGGCCAAACGGCGCAGCGTGATTCTCGCTGCGAGAAAAAATTGAGGTTTTTTTTGGAGTGTTTATGTTCATCGATAAGTTGATGTTATTGCAAGTATTACAAAGTCTTGATGTAGCGGATTACAAGGGCGATTCCGAAAGGACCACTTTTGGTGGAAATCATGGTAATGCGTAGTTTATCTGTAAAATATTATATTAGCTTTCCCTTAATTTGTATTATAAAGTAAAACTTAAGGTATCATTATGTCAATATAAAATTTGCCAGAGGATTAGCAAGTCTCTGAAGCAGCATGTACTCATTTTGAGCATTTTGTTTCAGATCATATGGAGTATCCAAAGGCTTTGTAGAGGGTCTTGTGATTTGGATATTTTAATGGGCTTACCAAAATGGATATTGTTAGTGGCTAAAGTAAAGCCTTTTCTACTACAAATGTTAAATTATTCCCATTAATGATCTGTTAAGATAGAGCTGCAACTTTTCCTTATCGGATTATAGATCAAATGTAACCTAGTTCATAGCATAACTAGGCAGTGTAAATGGAATTTATAATACCATTGCAAAGTGTTTGCCATTGCATTGTATCAAAACAGAATTAACGTTGTAATGGAAAAATGCGCAATTTGAAACATGCTTGCTGTCTAGAGGAAGTAGACTAATGATCAATGTATGCCCCATTTCACAATTCAATTTTGTTCAAGGTTTAGCATGATTCAACGTTTTTTGATTCCGTGGAGGAACGAGAATCGTTGAGGACTTTGGTAATTCATTATCAAGAGGAAAGGTGCCCTTCGGAGTAGGAAAATGGTATGAAATTCAAGGGAGTTTCAAGGCGTTTCCATCATCTAAGATCTGTCACTCTCGCTTCCGCCATTTTCCATGATGGCAGCTCTGTTGGTCCCTGACTTACCGATCGAGCAGAAACAGTCGAACTGTCATGGCCGAAAACAGCGGAATGTGTTTTATTTAGTGCACCGTTACAATACATATAATAATTATTTTCCACCTTAATGGGACATGAAAGTTTTAAAGCTAAGGTCTCAGATGGTGAGAAACGATCGTAATTAGTCTTTGCATTAACTTTGTTGTCAGTGGAAATATTTAGTTGACAATAGGTTTATTACTAGGACAATGGATGGTATTGACCTCTATAATTAGTGAAGAATACTGCTAAGTACTTAAATAAAATAGTTCTTACTTTTGTAAGTAAAAATAGAAAAGTGAAATATGTAGAGCAACTTGAGTTTGCGAATGACATATGTTTATATGTGAATTTTGTTCTTTACGTAGAAGTCGTACTTTATATGCACTGAACAATGAATTTTACGTGTTAATCATGTTTCTACCTTCTGTTGGTGTTTAATAAGAAATTCTGTACATGTGTTAACATATCTAATGGTAGTTTCTGTTGTGTAGGAAATCGACATAACTGCTAATTCCGGTTTACAATCACTTCCACCAAGGCTACGTAAAAATAAAAGACTACAGTACAGATGGGGTGTGAAGTATTATGCAGCTGTCAGAGAGACTGTTTTTTCAATGCGAAGTTCTCCATATATGCCTGCCGAACCTCCTCCAGGTTTACGAGAAGAAGGTGTTGACAGTGAACCTTTATATGTCTGTAAACAATGCAGAGACTGGTAAGTGAATTAGTTATTTTACAACAAAGAAGTATACTTAAATATATGGAATGCAACAAAAATGTAGTTTTAGTTTATTCATGTATAGACAACATTTCTGGGATATCCTTAATGCTTTTGAGGAGGAATATTAGGAGAAGTGTTTTCTAGTTCTCAAAAGTCGTGGATCTTTATTCTCTGAAAATACTTTGTTACAGCTTTCGATTTCGCAGTAGTTTCGAGGACCACAATAATCGACGCAGTTGGATCCTGGGTTACTGGTGTCACAATTGTTTTGTGACTGTCTGCACGCACACTCCAGAAAATAATGTGCTCTGTGCTGCTTGCATCACCTCTGATATAGAAAAGAAAAGTTTTTTACGAGCAAAAGGCTTAAAGAAAGGTCAGAAAAAGGGGGCTATTAAAATTTTTCACAATCAATGCCAGTTTTTCGCGCATCTTAAGATGCACGACACTCACATGGTAGACATGGCTGATGTCATGTTAATGCCTATACCGAGTGACGTAGATAGGGAGCATTACAGCGACCTAGACAAAGTTTGTGAGATACTCATGGAGCATATGTTCATTTCCCGCATACACATTTTGGACTGGTTGAGACGGAAGCATATCGACGGTCACTGGTGGAAATTGATACACGCAGAAACCGTCAGCAAAGACAATCCCTTGGTGAACATTATAAAAATTTTTAAAGAGAGACAGCGTATCAAGCATCTCCAGCTTAGAAAGATACAGACACCTCCCACGATTACTCCCAAATTAAATTTTAACCAAACAAGTAGCAGTTCTCGCGTCGAGTCTTCGTGCCCGGACGTCGAAATAATCTCAGTAAATCCGAGGAATAGTACCTGCACATTTCCAGAAAATAAGGATACAGTAGATGGAGGTGCATGCTCCTCAACAGTGGGTGATAACACCGATCCACTCGAGTCGACAGGTCTCGGTGAAGAATCTTGTCCCAGGACCGATATCGCGTTCGTTGATTGCGGCCCAACTGCAAGGCTCTGCAATGAGCCTTTCATAGTCAGGAAATCGAATGACTTCGATCAAGGATTTAACAAAACGAGTATCGATGAAGGAAGGTTGACTGACGAGCCTGAAGTAGAACAGAGTGTAAAAGATGAAGGACTAGCTAAGCAAGGAAGCGTCGAAACGTCGCTAAGTCGAATATCGAGTACCCCAAGCTCGGTGAATCTATCAGGGAATTTCGTTTGCTTACCGAAGATATCAGTAAAGACTTTCGCTACTGAGCGTCCATCGACTCGTAACAAGTCGTTGCTGTGGAGGGACTTCTCGCGCCACTACGAATTGCAGAAGCAACTAGATAAGGAAACCTCTGTTAATACAATCGTTAATCAACCGAGGGCAGTAAAACCCTCATTACCCTTAGCGTTGACCAATTCGGAGCAGACTGGTATTCGAGCTAACTCTGGGAAGGCCAATTCTAGGATTTTAACGGTACATAGTCCTAAAAGTATCAACATTTCTACTATAATAAGTCAGCTTCCTCCTGAGGTTATCAACAGTAAAAAAATAGTCTTCATCGGACAAGACCCAGAGGGTGGACCCGTGCATGCTACGTCCGTCACGAGTACGCAAAAGGTACACTTGAAGAAAGACTTAGATTCGAAAGTATTGAAAACTATTCCATTAAAGGTGACTCTTCCTGGGACAGTATCAGGCATAGCCAACGAGCAGATGAAAAATGTGCCTATGCAGAAAATGCTCCCGGAGCCTGTATCCATCACCAGTTCCCAGATTTCTCTAGATGGTAAAATCGTATATCAAAACGGCAGGAAGTACATAATACGGCAAACGCAAAAAAATAATAATATGATAAAGGCATCAGATAAACCTACCGATAAATTAACCACGAACGCTTCGAAATTCAGGTCTATAGCACCAAAGACGATACCTAGCCTTGCATTACCGAGTGCTGTATCGTCTGTCTCCAAATCTGCCGTATTCGGTTCCAATTCGCAATCGAAACCACCGATACTGACTTGCGTGCCTAAATTAGTTCCATCCAATGTGTCTACGGTATTAGAAAAAGCTGCAGCCGTGCTGAAGCGAGCCGAGGAGACTGTAGAGTACTTCTGGATCGAACCAGATTCGAAGGGTCGGCATTTCTTGGTTTCATCGACCACTACCACAGTACAAAAGAGAAATAATAAGTTTCCCGGTGCCCAAGTGATCTTCCCGAAATTCAAGCAGCAAATGCTGGACGATCTGTTACACCTAGGCAAGCCCGAAGTGGAGAGAAGATTGAAAGCCTTGAGATATACTCAAAACGAATATAAGAAGGTAATAGGAGTGCACGACAATTTTGTAACCCGAGACAACATGGTCATGATTAAATTGTTAGAGGATGCTATGAAGATCTCGTCTCCTTGGGTTGCGGGAGAGAGTGGACACGCGGATACTCTGGAGGATATATTTAACCAAACGATGCGAAAGTGGGAGCTGGATTTCAACAGGGGGAAGGCTCTGATCTGTTCGAGGTGCACCAAGATTATAAAGCCTAAGTCTTATATAGTGGGATTGTCGGAGACAGCGAAGGACGAGGCCAGGTATTGCGAATGCTACAACTACAAATGTCCCGAGTGTGGGAATTATCAGGGGAGCGTGCCCAGATTCACTAGCCATCTGAAATTTCACAAGAGAATGGAGCCGCATATGTGTCCGGAGTGCTATAGGCTATTTTCAACCCACCGGAAACTGGAGCTCCACACGTGGACGACGTGCGTCCACCCATTGATTCGGAGATGGTATGGTTGCAAAGTGTGCGACGTAGAGGGGTTCCTTTGCTTGGAAGACGTCACTAGGCATTTCGCGGCCATGCACAGCGAAAAGAAGGTAGCGTGCCCCAAATGTCGCATGGTCTTGAATACCTTGAAGTCCTTCAAGGAACACGTTAAAGAGAATCATCCCGATTCCCGAGAAATACTGGATCTGATCTGGCTAATGGTTTGCACCGTAGGTCAATGTATAGTTCAGCCAAAACACTACAGGCTACACATGGATAATCATATTGGCGTAGCCAAGCTGCTCTATTATAAGTGTCCATTCTGCCCCCTGCTTTTGAAAGAAGCTAATCGAGGCAGAGAGGAAATCAAGACGCACATGTTCATGACCCATCTCGATCGTTTGACGGAGGTCATCAGTCCGGAGACCCTCTCTGACATCATGATAGGCAAACCATCGGAAAGGGCCTTTGACGAATTGGCACCCCAGGATGCCCACGATGTCCAGTCATTTTTGAGCTCGAGCTTTATCGGCTTTGACCCTCAAAATCCAAAAAGTGAACTGACTACCGAGCTCATGGAATCACCTTCCGTGGTAGTACCTAAAATCGTCAACACTCGCACGATCTCGCCGGAAGTTTTCGAACGTTGTTCCGATAATTCCGATCAGGCTACTGCTGATTACCTGAGCGCAATGCTTACGAAAAAGTCTTTTAAGGGCGGCATGGAGTGCAGCGTCTGGTCTATTAACTTGGACGGCTCTAGTTTACCTAGTATTATCGATGTCAGGTCCGAGGCTCCGGAGAAGTTGCTTCCGAAAATATTGGACGTTAGGTCAATAGCAGACGATAAAATCGATGAAGAGTCTGCCGATTCTAACGAGGGCCACTCGGAGACGAGGAAGTGGACGGAGATGTTGGATGTCACTGCCATCTCGAAGACGATATCGGACAGCGAAATGATCTCCAGTGACCATCAAACTAATCGGGATAAACTCGAAGAGGAAGAGCGAGGGTCTAAGATCACTGACAAGAGCTCGGGGAAAAGTGCCTCGAGTGAAAAGCGAAGTCGTGGTTCCTCGAAAGTCTGTAAAATCTCATCTGCATCCGAATCGGCTGCCGAGTCACCGAAGTCATTGAGATCTAAGGTCCAAGAAGCTAATAGTACAAAGTTGACGTCAAAAGTCCCAAGGGTACTTAGAGCCACGAGGTCAGGACCTGCCAAGAGGAGATCTATGGCCAAAATTAGTACCTTTCAGGGAAGTGGAGAAAAGTCTTCGAGAAAGGGCTTCCAGAATTTTAAAGACGAGAAGGAACCAGCCGTGTCGATTTCGGAGAAAACGAATACGGATCATTCGTCGAAACAACAGATAGATCTGTCGCTCATTAAACCGGTGACAACGTTGAAGTCGAGGATCACACCTCGAAAGATACATTCGCTTACTTCGTTGTCCTCTCCGACCCCTCTAAAAACTCGGTTCCACGGTAAGACTGCAAACAACGCGTTGACGACTGCCGCGCGAAAGCGCAATAAGTTGCGGAAAAATTTAGGGAAAGTGGAATCCAGTGACCACGATGATTTGTTGAAGCCAGACGTGATACTCAGACGGGGGTCGACCCTTAAAGAATTCAAAGATGTTATTGAAAATGGCTGCGATGATCGCAAAGATTTATTGAAGACGGACGAAGTGCTCAGGATCGTCAAGAACGATTTCAGAACGATGTCCAAGGACATCGGTCCGCCTCCACCATTGGCGAGGATCCCTCAGCACCTTTTGGGGGAGCCCGCGATTTCCCCAACAACAGACGCGAGCATTGAGAAACAAGAAAGGAGGGAATCGTTCTCGTCGGAAACGATGCTGTCGGTCCGAAAAAGAAGACACGGAGAGGTCTGGAGGATCGCTCTGAACGGCCCCACGACAACTCGCACACTCCCGCAGAAATTCAGGTGTCATCTCTGCGGGGAGCTGATCAATACAGCTTGGAACGTTGTCCGAAGTCACTTCAGTTCTAAGCATTCTTGGGATTATCAGCTGGCCATTGTACAGCCGCGGTTGCTGAAAATGTCCAAGGAGTTTATAGAAGGAGGGTACAGGGAAGTGTCCGGCAGCAGGAAGCGGAAGTCAGAGGGGTCCTCTAGTCCACCGAAGAGACGTCGACGGTGGACGCCGAAGAAGCACGTAGAGAGGACCAGCCACACGGGGCTGGGACTCTTCGTCAAGCAGGAATCTGTTCAGGATGGCGAGGGCAACTTCAAGTGCAAAAAATGTGATCTGAAATGCGAGAACATGACCGACCTGAGGCAACACATTGCCAGCAGTCACAGGATCAAGGAGCGCTATCTGATCTGCCTGGAGTGCGGGGAGAACTTTGTGGTTGCACCTAGCTTGCAGATGCATCTCAAAGCCTTCCACGGGATAGAGGATCCTAATAGTTATCTTATAAAAAATACTGCTTACGCTCCCGATGTGATCGACGAGTCGGAGGCCAAAACTACCGTGTCCAATCAGTGCCACGTCTGCAAGGCTGTCTTCGAAGACAAGGCTGCCGTTGATAAGCACCTCAGGGTGCACGGGATGGCGTTTCTTAACCGTAAGAGAATAGAGGCACGGAATGCTCTTAGGTGCTCGGAAAAGAAACCTAGATTAGAAGGCACCGAGGATGCAGAAACGGAAACAAAAGACGGCGACTCGCAGATCTCTTCCGCCCTGCAGGAAGACGAGCAAAGCTCAAAGCAATCCGAGGTAGATAGCGCTTGCGGAGATAGTGTTCATTTTATCAATGATTTTTAGATTTAATGGGATTTTGTGCTTACAGGAATTGGCCGATACCTCAAAAAAATGAAATGATCATTCCTCAGGTGTTGAGAACAGTTTGAGGCAACGAATCGAGTTAGGATCTGATACAGAGACTATCCGGCTCGGCATGACGAACGTGCGTCGGTCTTTTAATAGCTTGCATTTAAAGCTGTTGGAGATCCCACGTATTTTAATACTCCCTGTAAAATCATTGTAAATCGTCAACCTTCGTCACGAGTCAGTGATCGAATCTCGCGTTAGTACGTTATGAGTACGTATAGTACGGAATTTTAAATTCATCTACTTTAAAACGAGCCCGATTGATGCGAAGCTCTATTTTTCAACGTTTAGCGGTGACTCTTGAAAAATGCAAATTTCCTTCCGTTGCGGTTGCTGCCAGGAAGGTAGAAAAAACAATTCCTGAAGATAGTCGCGTCGTTTATGCCAAGCGAGAATTTGTACAAAGAACGTATTTCGGGTGAAAAATTACTGTGACGTTTCTTCTGCGGTTTTGAAGGAAGTCTCCAATTAGTGACGTCGCTACAATCAACTCGCAGACCTTGACATGCAGATGTTAAGCGGTGTAAATAATTTATTAATATTTAGAGAAGTTAACTCTTTTTGTAACGCGCTGGTTATTGTATATCGCTACGCGATCGCTGTATATTAGGTATGACTGAATAAAAGAAGAAAAAATAGTTTTAATCGGGTTACTCATGCCTGGCGACAAAGAGTGCGAAGTTACCGTCTCGTATAGTCGATAGCGATGCTCAAAAATTCAAGGAACAACCCAAAACCAAGGAACACAACATTAATAATTTATTTTCCACCCTCCTTCGCGGCACTTCCACGGGAACTGTAATGAGAATCTCACGGAGAAAGGAATTAATATAATATATTTATTACATCTTCCTTTTGCGATTATTGCGCAGACAATGCTGTGATTATTGCTTAATATTTAAAGACTTCTTCACTGATTGACACATCGAGACGATGGAAGGTACGAAACGGGTCCTGGGACCATCCGGAAGAGCAGCTTCGCGTAATCCACTTCCTCGTATAGAATTTAACACTCTTAAAACCCTATCTGTATATCTGGGAGCACGAAAATAGTCATATATATATTTACTTTGTGATAACCTGTGTACTTTTCATAGGATCAATTATCGTTAAAATTAACGGATTCGCGCGTAGTTACGATACGTCGGTGCAGGTACTAGAGAGGGTTATTTCGGGAAACTTGAACACTTTGACTATGGGCCCGTGGAATTCTTTCGTCGTACCTCAGGGCGGCATAATATCGCTTGCCCATCTTCCTCGTTCGTCCTATACGGATCCGAGGTGTCTACGATCGAACGAGAGTCCTTGACGGACGACGAAAGATTTCCGAACGTGAAGTCTCGGAGTGTTCGGTTGGTCCCTCGACGACCCCGAAGAAACGTCCAAGTCGGTTTCGGGTCACATCCTTCGGTTCCAACATCGCGAACACTCCAGTGGGCCCACTTTGGCACGTAGACCAAGGAACACACTTACGAGGACTAAACGAAAGAGGATCATCGGTCCTTGTTCCGCATTTTCTCATTTAGCTCCATTGTTTGATTATCGGCGAATTTCGGCGGACACCCTGAAGAGATTGCCGAGGATAATCGGAAGAACGTTCGTGCAGGTCCGTCCTAGAAGTTCCCTAATCGAAGGGGTGAACGGATTAAACCGTTCGAACGGATCGATCGCATCGTTCGGCGTCATCCTCGGTTTCGTTCAAGCATCGGCCCTGTTCACAGATTTCTCGGCGGCGACGAACAGACGCGTATCCTGGAAAGGATTCACTGATCCTCTCGAGGAGATTCGGGACCTTCCTCGGCGACCTCCGCCGTTTCGCCAATGGGACTGTTCAAGGTGCTCGCCAGGATCTTCGGACTATCCGGATGGTCCGAGGCTCCCGACTCCGGGGCAAGGACCAGGGACCCCTCCGTCGTGGAGTCGCTCTTTCCAGCAGATCCTTTCACGAGATCACCGGGCAGGACTTTCGGCTTGGACGGAGACGACGAGGACGAAGCGGACTTCGGCTTGCGCGCTTCTTCGTCGACGACGCCGCCTTCGCAGGGGGTCTCGGCGGCGCCGTTCTCCCTGAAGAGCTTTCGCAGGTCCATCGTCAACGTTTCGTTCCGTTCGACGTCTTCGTCCGTCGCGATCGTCAGTGCCAGAGTATCGGGAGGTTTTCTTCCCCTGGCGGTGCTGGCCAGCTCGCTGAGGGGAATGCCGACCTCGTGGGTAGCCCAGACGTCGCAGTTCGGGCTGAGGGAAGCGCCTCTTGGAATCGGGGTGACCCTCGGCCTGGTGGCATCTTCCATGGAGTGCCAGCGATGGGGTTGCACCAGGCTCGAGGGGGGAATCGCTCCCAGGCTGTTCGCCAGGACGATCCGGTGGGGGAACCTCGGAGAACCGCGGACCTTCTCTCTGGAGGACGTGTGACTCGAGCTCGCCTCTAGAAAGAATTCCGCCACCTTGACATCTTCATCGATAGATCCCTCGCTTAATTAAATCATAGCAAAGAAACGATGATCAAAGACTTCAGGGTGAACCATTTCCTCCAGTCTCGATCGGAAGTCGAACCAACCCTCGGATTTCCCGCGGCTCCCCGAATATCTCTTCCAGGGAGCTATCGCGCCAAGTGGTGCATCTATAACACTTTTGCAGCATCCCTCGGCGGAGTTCCCGACATCCGACTTTCCACACCGGCTGTTCCCGAGCACGGATCCGCGAATCGCGTCGCGGCATCCCCTAGAGACAGCCGGCCCCTTTGGAAGCACTCGTTCTACGGCTTTGCCGACTCAACCCCGGTCCGTGACTCGACTTTTTAGGCGCAGTGGGTGCAAGGTCTGCCCCCTATTCTCCCCCAAATCCCATTTGCGACTCGCGAACAGGGGGCTAGAATTCTCTTACGGGGCCGACGGCCTCCCGGATAGGGAGACATGAAAAAGAAAACTCATATGGATAAGGGGGAAACTGGAGCACTCACGTGGGGGAAGAGTGAAGTTCACCCTAGGCTCGCTGCTTTCTTTCCTGCGCAGCCCCAGACTCAGTCGACGGTCCTCCTCGCTGGTGATGTTGATTATAGGTCCTGATCCACACCTGGGGTGAGATTGTCGGGTACCTTGGGTGTCTACCTGGCACGTGGAGGCAGCTTTGGCCCCCGGTACCAGACCGGCTATGTAGCCCATGTGTACTCTCAGGGCCGATGCTACACCTGTGGGGGACGTGGATGGTTGTATTTGGGAGGGTCCTAGAAAGTGGGATTTACTTTATTTTATTTTTTTCAGTACCAGTAAACGACGCCGTGGACGTCTTCCTGCTGCTGGGTCGACTGCCGAACATGCTGAAGAGCCGCTGGAAGACGCCGAGTCGGTTCGGACCCTCCGTGTCTCTGCGCCTGTCCAGCTTGTAAATGTCCGCCAGGCTCCTTCGAGGACCTTCCTCCAGGTCCGGTTGACTGCTAAACGCTACGGTTCCGCGACGCATGCCTATTTTCACGGAGCAAGACTTTCGAGTCACGTCGTTGGCGGACGTATTTGCGAGAAGAATGCAGGGCAGAGGCGGGGGCGAAGCTCATGAAGACGGAATGACAGGGAGCGAGGACTTCCTCCAGGGCTAGGACTATTTCGGGGTACTTCTGTACACGCCGAAGAACACGTCCGAAGTGAACATCCGTCAATACGCTTAGGGATACGAGGGCTGAATTTTCGGAGCTGCATTCCGAATTTCGCCAACAGCAGTCGAGCGCCATGAGATTTGCGTTTATCTCCCCTTATCGAGGATTTAACGGGACGTCTCATGACGCAAGTCCTGGGATCCCTAGACATACTTCCGCGGATCACAAGGCAAGTTCCAGGGGAAAAGTGCGTGCATCCGACGTGCAGATCTCTAGAAAAAGAGGCGCGATCGGAGCGGTGCTCGTTGCTCGTTATCGCGGTCTCTCTACGAGGAGGACTTCGGGGTCGGAGAGGACGCTTCTCTCCTTTGATCTAATCCTGCGGACTCTAGGTGACGAGAAACGAGAGCCAGGCAAGAACGTGAGTGGGTGTCGTTGCAAGCAGGGGCGTGCAATATACGGAATAATGTCACCTTTCCGAGGAACCTGAATGGCGGAAACGACGAAGCGAGAAGAACATTAATGTACTTTCCAGAAGAGACATCCGACCGCGGTCCGTCAATGAAGGCCATTCGATGGACGCACGTGTATGATCGCCATCGTACCGCCTTTGCGTGGTCGCATCTCGGTGGACCTCGGACACGCGAGCCTAGTCTTTTTCGTAATTTTCCGAATTTTATCCAAGGTCCTGAGAGGTCCTTTCAGAGTCAGCAATCGGTTCACGTGTTGCGCGGTCCACCAAGGGCGGCCATCGTGACGAAACGGTTGACAACCGGGAAGGAAAATCGTCTCACCGGATGGATCAGCCGATGGCCAGCTGGCACGAGGGATGATCGGGGGCAGGACACTTAGAAGAAGAAGAGGCACTCCCCCAGTTATACTGGGATTCCTCTGGGGGATGGAGGCGCTTGACGAGTCCTGGGAAGGGTCCGGTTGCTCCTGTCCCAGCTGCTTCTCCAGCCTCGCCAGCTCCAGCTCCAGCTGGGCCATCTCTCGCCTGTACACCTTGTTTTGCACCTCGACTCGAAAGTGGAGCTCCCTGCAAGACCGAGATCCCTTATCCACTCTCTCCTCGATCCAGATCTAGACGCCGAAGGGCGCACCGCCGCCCCAAAAAGTGCGCGGCCATTGTTAACGCATCCCTAAACCAGGAAACAGACTCCGGCCGACGCGTTTCCTTTACCTCCAGGAACGAGATTGCATTGTCCTCGAAATTGTAATACACCCCCGGGCCAGTGATTGTCTGCAGTTTAGAGGCGCGAATTACTTCCTCCGGGGAGTCGCCCTATCTATACGGAGACCTTAGAACTACCGATGAATCGATTGGGCCCCATTTTATGGGCTTTGAAGTTTATGTTTGTTGGTCGGCCGAGCATTCGAACGCATTGGACCAAGTAATCGGCCGAGTTTGATTCGTTATTTCAACTTCATCGGGTGCTTTTAATTGCTTTTACTTGCTCTTCTGATCATCACCTTCAAGGACCCTATCGATTCTCCTCGAGTGGCGCTCGCGCGACTCCTACAGGAAGTGGAAATTTTCTGGGAGTGGAAACGTCCGAGGCATCTCTGAAGTTTCGTCCGATTCGAGATAAATTCATAGTCGGCGGTACCCTTTGTCATCTGTGACGAATCTTCTGGTGTTGCTCTCGATCTTGAGGCCCAGGCTCTGGACCACGGGATCCGCTCTCTCTCCGGCCAGGATGTTGGCCAGCTGAGGAAGGAAGAGCAAAGCCAGGGTGGCGGTGGTAGAGGCCAGGATCAAGGCCGTAATGGTGACGAAGGCCAAGGTGGCTCGATCGGACATCAGGTTCGCTAGGACCACGACGATGCCGGAAGTGATGACGACGGAGTAGACGCTCATCCCGATGTACTGGGAGTCGTTCAGCGCAGGGATCTTGACGTGCCTGGAAACCCAATTCGTACCTTGAAGAGTCGGTCCTTAAGGGACTCCTCAGTCAGGTCGTAAGTAGATTCGCGTCGCGGCATTAATCACGACATTTACGATTCGCGTAGGAGGACAACTCTGAGTCTCCCGGGGTTCGTCGACCTCGAAGAACGGATTACCGCCTCGGGTTTACCTGGTTTCCCAGGCCATGTAGACGCCCACGATCAGCAGCAGACCCTTGTAGAGATAGAGAGCTCCCAGCCAGCAGTTTGTGTACTGAGAACGGCATACCTCCACCTGGAACGTCGGAATTCGGCTTCCAATTCGAGGTAGGCGGGAGAGACTCGCGTTTAGCGAGACCCGACTATCAACTAGCTCCGTCAACTAGGAGCAATTTCGAGATAACACTGCCTCAGATTTCCCAGAAACCTGCGGAATCGCACCTGGGGCTGATAGACGACCCCCCTGTCCTGGGCGCTGATTTCCAAAGTCAGGTTCCTCAGGTGCCTCTGCATGGGGTCCACGGTGACCCACAGGGTCACCACCAGACCGTCTATCAGCAGCAGCACGCAGATGAGACTCATCAGCTGGGTGTCCTGCAGGAGCTATTTAAAGGAAAGCAAGTTTTAACCGCGGGTACCAAGATGCATCCTTCCGTGTACTCATTTCCGTAATTCAGGGACTATAGCTTCCAAGTTTTGAGGAGGGTCGGCGGGTACTTGCTTTGTTCTTGACGACCCCGCTGCGGCTCCTGGTGAAGATCCGGTGGACCCGGTACGTCTTTGTGAACATGGAGCCAAAGGCCAGAGAAAACCCCGCCGACAGGAGGTACACCCTCGCCTGAGAGGTAAATAAATCGGCGTAATTCATTCTAATTGCCCCGTGGAAGATTTCGGCTGTGGACTTACGGTGCAAACCGTGGGGAAGTAGCCATCGCTGTCGGGAAGAGTGGCGTGGTCTAGACCCAGAAGGATGACTGCCCCATAGACCAGGGCGCAGCCCACGGCAGCCATGTTGTTCAGCCTAGGACTCGAGAGTTTGATGCTCCTGTTTGAAGAAACAAGATGAACCTCCAGCCTCTGACGCATTCTGTACGCCTCTAGGTTTCTAGGTTCATTCACTAGGAGGATACTCGCTTGTGCTTCCGGAAGTGCAGGTTGAAGGCCAGAAACGCCAGGGCGAGCGTCACCCCCACGCTGGCCAGACAGGTGACCGCAAGAAACGCAGCAGGTGCTACGGTGACGACTCGCAACCTGCGAATCAAGATCCTGATGAAGATTATCTCGTTTAAAAATGGGAACCCTTCCCTAAACTTAATTAAAAACCCGCGGAAGATGCGCCGCCCCGGGCGCTACTCTCTTCCTCCGACCGCACGACAGTTGTACTTAAGTTTCCCCGTTATCACATATTTTTCTTCCCCTCCTCGTGGATGCACGCGAACTCGCGAAAGAATTCTCGATAAGGGGGAAGTTTAATTTAAGTTCGGCCGACGTGTTCGGCAAAGTTCGCGGGCGTTCAACAAACCACGGGGTGCCTGTGACGAGCGATCCGATCGCGGCCAACTTTAATTGCGGCGAGTTCAATCTTGACGCCATTTCCAAAATAATCATTCTCGAGAGAGGCATCGAAGGGCGATCAGGAGAATGTGGGGTTCAAAGTGCCGAGGTGAGCATCACTCGTACCTGAACACCCTACGAGCTGTAGGTGGATGTTCTCCAGGCCATCTTGTGTTCGCGCACCCGGAGCAATTCATCGTGAGGTGGCCATCTTCCGGGGTAAAGATAGCAATTCTGCGGATAACGTGTCCTGGAATTAAAAGGAAACCTCTCAGCTTGTAAACCCTTTGATATAAGGCGCTCTAATCGCAGCCGCCGATAAGTGACCGAATTGAGTTCGATTTAACGCCTCCCGGAGCTTTCCCCCTTTTTCGACGTATTGTTGGCTCCCTCGGGAGCTTTCCGCGATAAGGGATTAGGGTTAATTGATTCCACTTTGTGAAAGAGGGCTCCGTTATATCGCCGACTTGCTGGGCCGGAAACTTATCAAGGCAAGAGACCCTTTTCTAAATCCCATCCGATAGGGCGGTATCGGACCAACCGGCGAAGAAAAATACCGGAACGAGTGATAAAGGACACGGAATCCCGCGGGAACACGAAGCACGCTCGCGAACTAATTTTCGCGATCGGAATAGAATACCGGTAACTTGTTGATAGAACTGAGTTGGTAAAAATAGGAGAAATAGATTATGAATCCTCCAGCTTTTGAGGCACGGTTGCAGGGGCATATATTTGATATCGCGACGTTATCGGGCAGAACAAATGTGACTCGGAAGGGAGCCTCCACCGTGCGGTATTCCTGGCAAAAATTGTGCAGGACGAACGCGGGATGCATTTTTCACGAGTTCCTCGCGAGAACAGTATTTCTGCGCCCGGTAAGGCCGGGCTAGCTCGTTCGTAATTTTTTTACGAGGGAACACTTTCTCGGTGGCCAAAAGTGAAACAGCGAGAAGGGATATTTTCGCTTTGCCATAAATTTCTAATTCCAGAATCGACCCGTGTTTCCCGGGATAGAGATACAGTAAGACGTCGAGGGTCGGAAGAGAGCGACGCCCCGCGTTTCCCGGATATCGCGGATGTTTTATTAATTCCTTCACTCGATTCCGGCAGGGATGTCAACCCTTGTTTGAATTCCTACGTACCGATATCGACCCCTCGGTTGAACCAACCCCGAATCCGGCCTTATCCGCGAGTTTCCGGATTCCACCTGGAATACCAGATTCGGCGCGAACCGAGCTAATCCCTTTAACGGCAGTAGACGTTGTTCAGTTCGCGCATTCATCACCCTATACATATTTATGATCCACGGGAATATGTAACGAAACTCGGGGACATTAGATAATTTTTTTACACAAATAGGAGGTGCCCCGAAATGGCACCTTGGCTCTTCACCGCGGTGGGAAATTGATAGGACCGGTGGGAAGGGTGTCAATTAACGGTCGCAATTAAATTAGGTAATTTTCAAGAACGTGGAGTAATTGTACCCGCGTTTAGGGAAAGTATTCCCGAAGGAGGAAGACGTCGGTGGAAAAATTGATGAAGCCGAGTTAGGGACGACGACTGAGATATTCCAAGCCACCCGAGTTATGAATGGCGTGATAAGAGTACTCGACTGCGAGTTATCGCTCCATCGTTTTTCCCTCTCTATCTCGCCCCTCTTTCCTCTATATCGACACAAGTATATCGCTTGAACCTCCGCCTGTCTTTTTCTGGCAGACATCCTCCCAAGCTGCCCCCGAAAAGTGCTCTTACATTATTCGCCTTTAAATCTTTCCCTTAAACCTTTTTCCAGGATTTTTTATTTTCGACCTCTCCCTGCCACGCTGCGTTAATATTCGGGGAAACGGGGAATCGTTTATGCATTTATAGTTCGATACAGAGGTAGACCCAATTTTCCTGGAAGCTGGTGGTCCAGAATCTGCCATCGACTTCGAGAAATGGACACTTCTTCGCATACTCTCTTAGCCCATTTCTATTCGGATCGGTTTCGCGTTTCATCCCGGGTGCACGTAACGGGTATCGGTAAGGTCTACTTTTGATCATTCTCTTTGCGAGTGCACCGGCTCGAGTAGCGAATCAATTCGAGAAAAATGGCAGGAGGCCAGGCTGTGTTCAATTTGTCGAGCCGCGAGGAGGACTCTTAGGACCACGAGGTTCTTATTTCCGCAGACTCGTATCTGAAATCGATTTCGGTACAGCATACGGTTTCCGGTAACGCGGACACTTGTACTTTTGCAGGCCATCCGCAAGTACGAACTGTAAGTACAGAACTGCAAGTACGAGCAGAAGCGAAACCGAAGAGAAGCGACATCGAATAGAGTTTCTCGAAATTCGCTTCCTCGGGCCTTTAATTTTTTACCAGGAGCCCCTACTCGCGTTCGATGGGCAACTCGTCTAATAATTAATTAAGTGCCGGTAGCACCGATTATCGTAATTGCGAGCTAAGTCACCATCGTGATTCACCCTCGGCTTAACGTAGTTTTAATTCCTCGCGGTGGAGGGACGAACCGAGCTTTGATTCCGGCGTGGCGCTGCGTAGACCGGGGAATTCCCCCGGAAATTTCACAATTTACCGCATTAGGTAAAAGTGAGGTCGAGTAGTCGCCCGAGGAACCACGAGAAACTCGGTCAGAGAGAATCCAATTCGCCATTCGCGTTACAGGCTTCGTCGCGCCCTCCAAGTCGGAGCGTTTGATCGCGACCCTCGGCCATTAGGGTCGCGTTTTTCCCCCGCGGATGCCAATGGACGCGTTAATTTATCCCGGGGAAAATGTACGGATGGGATCGCGGTGTCCCCCGATCCCCCCAACTCGAACTTTGCAATTGATCGCATTTAGGCAATGGCGAGGATGAGCTGTCCCCCGAGGAACTGCAGCAAACTCGGTCAGGGGAAACCTAAATCGCCTTCCCTTGTTACAGGCTCCGTTGCATCCTCCAACTCCGAACGCCCGATCGCACATCGATTTCGAACTATTAAATCGCGGATTACATTTTACTGGATTTTATCCTCGATTCGGTCCGATTGCTCCACCGTCTATACAGGCAGCCGGTTCTTAAATTCCCATTTCGCGGGAATATTTCCCGGTGCCATTATCCTCTCTTTCTCTAAATCAACTCCCCGAGTTGATTTGAAACTGGAGTCCAATTTTCTATCCCTCGGCGAGTGCCGTTGATAAAGTCGATGCACTGATCAGAGTGCGATCCAATTGCGCCCATTAGAGCGGCGGCTTCCTGGAGAGGATCCCGAAGACCCCGGCGAATCGGAGAATTTCCTCGGGCGGTATATTTCCCGGGAAAAGCGTCGAGATGGGACTTAATTGGCCAATCGTTGCCGATTCCTTTCGGTCCGGCAAATAAAAAGCGCCGGCCGTAATCGGGATATCAAGTTGTACTTCGACGTGGCCATTATTCTCAGGGTTAATAGGTATACCCAGGAAAACAGGAGACTGCGGACTCTAATCGGGCAATTTCTCTCCCATCCCCCCAGGAAAATTTTTGAATAAAGTTAAGCTCCCTCCCGTCGATAATTTAAAACAGGAAATTCTAAAGAGTGAACTCCTTCGGGCGGTGGCGATTTTTCAGAATCGCAGGCGGGACATTTCCGGCACGATTCCGCGTCGGGTCGGTCGATTCATACAAGCGGGCAGTTTTATATAAAACTTTTTCCACCCCCGTCACGCCGGGAAGAAGACCGTCCTCTGCAGAGAGTTCTGCTCGCCATTGTACCGGAATACCATACAATGGAGCTTTGTGCCACTCCAGATACCGTGTACTAACCCTCTCTTAGAATCAGTGCCCAGTGTTCGATACCAGAGCATCATCAACGGTAGATTACTGAGAGAATTAGCGGGCCCTGTAATTAATATCGACCGAGTAACAAAAATCGACAGCGATGGGCCGCTTCGTCGGCAGTTGTCAAATCATCGAACTACCGATTAATCCAAACGCGATTCCACCCAATCGAGTCGAAGATTCCGAGCCTCGCCACACGTGGACCGAGATTTTTATTTTCTCTTTCTTCTCGTAGATTGCACCAACAAAGTCGGCTTCGACAATGGCCCCGTTGATTCGAGCAAGAGGGATCAGCCCTAGTTCCTAGGAGCCAGAGGGTACTACTGGTCCAGGGCACGCAAATTATGCGGCATTGTGGCAACCGAGTGTACTCTTGACCCATTGTTCCATTATGGACAGGACACGGATTTAAAAGGCCTCGCTACATTGTTCCCTGCAGTGCCGGGGACGCGAATGCACCTGCCAGGGCAATGCACGTGCGACCCCCCGCAATCAGTGGACACCTCACATTTAATCGATTAATATTTCCCTAGATACGTGAAATTTCAAGTACGCCTCCGTTCTTAAAAATGGATACCTAGGAATAAGTCTGGACTGTCAAAGCATCTTGATCCAAACTCCAGCCTGGAACTCGTTATTCCAGGAGTAGATCCGCATTTCACGCGGGGGTGGATAGGATGCACATACAGTCTCTTGTTACCACCAAGTGCAACTCGAAGGCAACCTATATGCAGTCTCTCAACGTCAGGCCATACAAATCCTTTCAATCCCAGGAATATGCTCCCTGTAAGCGAGCCAGGATAGGGTCGTCTACGTGACCGCGTCCAACATCGAAGGATCGGCCAGGATGCGCGGTTTGCTCCCGGGGGATGATTCCCGTATCACGTTATGTTCCAGAATTCCTCCTTTTCTCGCGATTAGATCATCCTCGTCGTTAGGAGGTTTGATAGGAAGCAGTCGTAGCCGACCACGGATCCCGGGTAATATTGGTGGGAATCCTGGCCCTCCTCGAGGATGGTCGTTTCCCCTGGCTGCGTCGCTCCCTCGGGACTCGGGATATTAATTATTCATTGGCTTCCTGGTTATCGGCCAACAACAGAGAATTCGCGAGGCGATCGAACGACCCGCGGTTCCCCGACGTAGGATAAATGCTTCGATGTTTGCCGACGTTTTATCGTTTATGCGAGGCTGATGTCCCTGCAGCCGGTTCCCTCCTCGACGGGACGACTCGTAGAATCTCGCGATAAATTTCGGGATTAATGTCTGCATCCCCGGGACGTTAACGAACTTTTCTCCGTACATATTTGCCCGTCAAATATTTAACCGTCCAGGAGTGCGAGATCGCGGAGGCGAAAGTGTAGCCCATTTCCCTTGACCGAGCCTAAAGGATTTAGCCGAGTGCCGTAATAGTAATCTTTGTGCAGGGAATTATCTTCGGACCCGCCCCAGGATTGGAGTAATTACGCGTGAAATAATATTTTCACGGCTGCCGGCTAATTCTTGAGCAAATGGCCGCAACGGGAACGCCGGTTTAGCTTAAACGGATGTACCACTCGGAACGAGGCACGAAGAATTACACTACTCGAAGGTATACACCTGAAGAGGGCTGACAATAAGCACCGAAGTACCAGGAGGTAATTTTCCGGCATGTTGCATCTTAATATTGCACCCCTGGGTGCAAGGGGGAATGAATTTGTTCTTCGGAGAAATTCATGAATTTTTAGGGGGTGTCTCGTCCTTTTGATCGACGAGGTTTTCCTGCATTAAATGGACACTTCGGATCATCGACGACGCACTCTGGGGAATTAAATTCCTTAAAAGAAAAGAAAAAAGAAAAGAATAAGGGTTTTCCTGGGAAAAATTTTCCCAGACCTGGAATTTCTCCGACAGGATCTCAGGGACGCGTCTTTAACGTTCCGGGTCCCTAGGGATGTTCGGGTGATTTTCGATTTTCCTGAAAATCCCGTATCGCCTCTCCTCGTTCTTCCGGGCATAATCGCGGCGAAGTTACGTTCGGTTGAACCCGAGGAAAATTAGTTTTGGTCCCAGGCGACGGTTATTCCAGTTTCTCCCGATCGTTGAGGATCCTCTGGAAGGAGTAGGGCGAGCCAGGGGCGGGATTTCATCATGAAATTCCCTGAAATAAACGTACTTTACGATCCGGCACCTTGAGATCCTGGCGGGGCGGGAACGGTCTTGAAATTCTCACGCCCTCGAAGCCTTTTGATGGTTTCGGAAAATCTCAAGAATTTCCTGGCCCTTTCGCGAAAAATAAAAATAAAAAAGAATGAGGGACGAGGAAGAATTCCCCTTACGATTGCCCCTTCCTTGATTTCCGGGAAGGAGAGATATATCGCATCTGTATTGTGTCCGACACCCGGAATCCTAAATCTGACTGGCTGATGTCTTCCGACAGACGTCATACCTCGAGAACGGTATTTCTCCTCTAAAAGGGACCACATTGCGGACGTCCCGGGAATATCTGTCCGGACATCGAAAGGAATTCGCCGGACGTGAAATCCCGATGACAAATGCAGGACGTTTATTCCGCGACCCGCGCACAGCTCGAAACACCCGCAGCACTTTCAGCGGAAGTTAAGAACTTTCGGGAAATACGAAATCCCCGGAGAACGTCTATTGACAGCGGCGTCGACATTGGTACATAAGAGTCGTATCACAAGACTCTAATGCGCGGGAAGTACGTACTTCTCGGATCCCCGACGATAGTAAAAAAATATTTTACCCGTTAATAAATATTCCCACATAATCAGCATTTACGGCAACTCCCCTCGTGACTTTTTTCAACATCACCCGCGGCCGAGTATTCATTTCCTGGTCCGGAGGCGATCGAAAATTGATTCGGGAGTTATCCCTACCGAGCGATTCGATAATTTCCGAATTTTAAAGCCCGATGGGGGGAGTCGCCTTGGAATTGGATTTGGAAGGACACGCGAATGGGTTTACGGTCTGAAATAACCCACGTCGAGAACTTGACGACGTGGGTGTATATACCCGGTACTCGGGGATACATGGAATAAAGCACACCAGGTCATGTAGTAGAGGAAGAAGTCCTTCCGTGACAGCGCTTAAATTGAAGAATACGGGGAACGTCTCCACTGTTATATATTCTAAGGGTGAGGGGCACATACTTAACCACCTCGTAGGTTTCCACCCCTCCTGAAGTTGCCTCTTCGAGAAGGAATTTCAGGAGGGAATCCCGAAGACAAGCCCGAAGAGATCCTGCAAATCGGGTCTCCGATCGATTCCGCGGAAACTTCCGCACGGCGGCCTGTTCGCGCAATAAAATGCACCCCCTTAGAACTCGAAAGTCGTCCTTCGGAAGTCATTTTCTACGTTAACGCCCTTCCTGCGTCCATAGTCGGCCACGCGAGTAGTCGAGCAGTCATACAGTCAAACCTGGACGGAATTACCTGGCCCGTCCCGGGTTTACGCCGGGCGGAAACGCGGCCATAAACGCGCGACTTCCGGTGCCCTTGACGCAGTCGTTTAACAGCGTTCGCGATTCCGTTCGAGTTCCATTGGCGTTAGGGTGCCGGGGCCTAGTCACTCGTCGGGGTGACAAATTCGGTGCAACCCGGCCGATGCATCGCGACGATGCGCCGTCATAGTTCGTGCCAATTAATTGATGGACCGGCGCTCGGGCATAGGTGTATTCGGAGCGCCCAGATGCATTTGCGTTTTATGCAGCTCCAAATGTCGGCCTTGATTATGGCCGGGTACGCGTTCGCATCGGGGCTGGACGTTCCGCCACCTGAACCGCCGAACGCGGAATGGCCTCCCTCCGAAAGGGACGCCATCGCGCTCGAAATGCCACTTTTCCGGGCCGAGGTGATGGACGTGCAAACATTTCTCGTTCCAGGCCGAATATTGGCGGCCCGCCATTGGACATGACCCGAGGAATTACCCTCCACGTTGCCTAACGCGGGATAAATAATCAGGGACAATTGAACCCTCGACATTGGACATGGTCCTGTAAACGTGGACTGGTCCGTTTCGCTCAATTTGATAAATGATAGCGGATTTATATCTTTTAGGACTTGTATTTTAGGTCGCAGGAGGAGAAGGTTGGGAACCTAGAAGGTCCCGTCGTCCATGGCATTCCCCTCGGCACCTGACCCCATATCGCACCCGGAACCTACCCCGTTGCACATGCCCTGCACCCTGGTTCCATCCGTCAGCCAACACCATTGACCTTATATCGTGGCGTCGCCGCTCCCAGTGCCATTATCATTAATAACTCGGCGATAACTTGCTAGATTCGGCAAAGGACGTATCCGCCCTCGACCGATATACGATGTCCTTCCCGAAACCGACGCGTCTCAGAAATAAAGGCGAGTCCTGCTCTCCTCTAAGGACCCCCTCAAGGGTATGGAATTCGAAACACGCGTCGGGGGCATCTCTCCCCCAAGGTATGCACTTAACGGGGGTGCAGGTGAGCCTGAAAATGGGAAACTCGAGGAGAACGATAACGGCGCGTTTCGGGGGAACAACGAATTCGAGAATCGAACGACTAGCCGTGAAAAGTTACGACGAGAATTTCTGGGAGGGGGAGGAAATTTTTCAAAGCAGATTGGAATCGCTTCACAGTTTACCGATAGTCACGCATCGACGGAACTTACCCTGCATTTGATAAAAAGCGGTGATACCCACGCGATCGGCACCGTCGAAGGAGACCGGACCCTGAAATCAATATTCATTAAAACTTTGCCGCCTTGAGACATAATGACGCATTCAACATGGACGGTATGTAAATTTCCCGGTCTATTCGGGCGGTCTCAATGCGTCTAAACCGACGTGCATTCTCAGTCGATATGTACCCGGGACGAGGGGGAGGGGCGGGAGGAAGGGGATTGTGCCGGGTAAAAATTCCGCCTTCTCTCATGATCTACATATATACGAATCATTCCACAACAGGTGTTTCGAAATCCGGGAGGGAAATCCTCGTCTGCCGGGATCCCGTTTCCACTGTATGGGAATTCTTTCCTTTTCCATGGGAGTCGCGCAAGCGATTACGACTCGTCAGGAGTAAAATTTAAGTTACCCCGCGGGAGGCGCGGAGGTCTCGTCCTTTATACGGCGATAAATCCTCCGGAGAGATGACGAAAATGAGTCGTAAAGGGGGATCGACCTAATCGAATCGCCTGTTCTTGGGGCTCTAAAAAAGGGGCATGAAAGTCGTAAGTGCTAGTCAAATTGATCCTGGAGGAAGGACTCTGGCGTCGCTCTTCGAGGCTCTCGGCCTCTCGGGGTGGCGCGTCCTCCTTTCCCAACAGCAGCTGCACCTTTCGCTCGGGGATGTTTCTTGTTAAGCTCGCCTAACTCACTTACCGAAACCCCGATAAAGTGCAAGCCCTTCAGCTGTCCGAGAAGCTCGTAGGCCAGGTCCTTCCGCAAGTGCGTATACTGCACCAGGCTGATGTTCCTCTGGTTAAGCCCGTTTTCCGTCTTGGATATGGCCAACGCCATGGTCCACACGGCGTCGTAAGTCTGGGCGGAGAACCTCGAAGACGTCACCCCTCTCTTGGCCAGCTCCGACACGAAATCCGCGGTCGTCTGAAATATTAATTTCGTGGAGATTAAAAGAGGACAAAAAAAAAAAAGATTCAGCCCGAAGGAACTCCCGGAAAGTCTCATTTCGTCTTCGCCAACTCGACGGGGAGACGAGGAGGGTATCCTGGATCGGCTCGTTTCCTCGAGATCGAGGGCCGCACTTGATCTGCCATCCATCTCGTGGCTCCAGGAGGCATAAATTTCGTCCTCCGTAACGCGAAGTACATCGCTTACCTCGGGATTGTCGGAGCGTAGGTGCGCCATCGGCACTCTCCAGTTTTTCTGCTTTACGAGAACCGGGATCAAAGGGGGATCGATTCCGGCCTGGGAATGGGCGGAGATAAAATTAGGGAAAATGCCCCGTTTCCAGATCAATTGAACGCGATAGTGACGAAAGTTCGGTAAACCAGGTTTATAACCACGTGATCGAGTTATCGGCGATGGGCCGAGCTGCCCAACGAGGGTGAAACCATCAACGACCCAGTTTCGAGCCAATCTGTGAACTCAACAGGCCTCGATGTTAAAACGACACGTGGATGACTCCGATTGTCGGCGATTGTAATCTGGCCCGGTGCTTTTCAAAGGTAGGTGCAACAATCGGCACGGTCGATCTCGTTATCACCCCCTGGTGACGAAATCACCCCCTGTTTCTTTTCGGTTCCTTGGCCCTTTATCACGGACAAACCGGAATATCGTCATTGATATCGCTATCACGAGGTGCTTGTATTCGGTAACAGCTTTGATGGACGTCGCTCCAGTCACCCTACGTGACGCCACGTCGGAGCTAAGCAGCTGTTAATTTAATTAATTACTCGTGAATGATAACGCATTAGGTGTTATTACGGCACGTATACGACGTAGGGTCATTATGGATCAGCTGCAGGTCGGTAGGTTATGCATGTCCGAAATAGTCTTCGGATGTGCCGTCATCCTAGGGAAGCCGGATCGAAGCGTGCATCTTAATGCAGCATCCCTATGCATCGGCGATGGGAGGTCGACATTCGGCGAGCATTCGATAACCCGATCAGCCGGTCGGTACAAATTTATTCCGAGATTCTAAAAAAGGAAGTTTAAATAATTCCTCCCGATGGAGTGACCGCGGAAAATTTAGATCTTTACATTCGAACATCTCTCGGTGCTCCATTTTAAGAGCCGGTGCTCATCTCGGGGACAAGAGTACCTTCGTCGATGAATTTGGCACGTGAGAGGAATCTCGCGGGGAACGGCGTTCAGAAGGAAGCCAACCCCGTCATTATCTCGATTACGTGTTCCGAAGAAAGGGTTTCGACTAAAAACTGGTCCAGCTCGTGTCCGCTCTCTCATCCGGCCGCCTCCGCTCGGCATTCACCGTTCGAATTCTCTCTAATCGCGAGCGGAGGTGGTTTCATCTCTTAGCGTCCCACGATAATGGCAGCTCAGCCGCCCAAGTTTCTGCTCCAATTTCCGCCACTGTCTCGGGCCTTGACGTTTACGATATTCGACCGATCACCCGCGGATTACTCTCGATATTGCGCTTCCATCTTTCCCAGTCTCGAAACAAGTTGCGCTCACAAATCCAATCCCTTATCGGACGGACTCTAAGAGCGCTCGAGCGACCGACCGAATTGCATCGATTGCCAAACCGAATGTGACATATCCAGCCGAGTCCCTGTTTCCAGGGCACTTTTATCGGAAACTCCTCGAGCCGATTTAATAAAGAATCGAGAACCCTCCCCTCGAGTTCATTTCATTTCTGGTCCATATTTCCTAAATGCGTCCAATTCGAGGATCTTAAATTCATCATCGGTTTACATTAATCGCGAAACGTTTCATCCGTCCTCCAAATTAGGAACAATGATCAGGAGTGGCACTTCCACCTAGGAATCGAGCCAGGCGGCGTTAAAATCGAGCTCGGTGGATTCAGACGAGGAGGAGGTCCAAACATGCCCGATGCGACGCAGCGTCGAGCATGTTTGTCTTGCCGAGTACGCCGGTTGAATTCGATGCACTCGGTGAAAATAGTTGCGTCTGACGGTAAATACCCTGGCTAGGTCCCGGTAAACGTTAACAGATTATTTGATTAATTGGAACGTCTTACCGGGATTTAAGCAAGGGGCTAGGAGGCAATCATCCGTTTCGAGTCTTTTCCCATTTTGGACCTCTCTGATCAGCGAGTCGAGCTTAGAGGGAATCCCGGGAGATCACCGGCTATCACGTGCCCTGATAATCCCGGATTACGTGATATACTTTGCCTCGTGGCGCGGAAGGCAGGACAGGAAACGACTCTAAGAACGGTACTGACCAGGCCGGAGAAGCTGACGTCGTCGTCCAGGACGGTGTCGTGGCTCTTGACGATGACGAGGCCGTCGAGGGTCTGAGCCAGCTGAGAGGGCGAGCAGTCCTCGGGACCGGTGTGCCACCAATCTCCGGTGGTGCCCGAAAGATCGATGGTGTCCCCAGGAAGTATCCAGGCGTAGTCGCCGCCGTGCATGCCGAGCTTCCAAGCCTGAAGCACAGAGAGACATCCGGGATCCGATTAGCGCGTCTCATCCCGGACCTCATCTTCCGCCCCCGAGTCTCTTTCGGCCCAGCCTCCCCCTGGACCGAGGGAAATGCGTACGAAGACCGAAGGAGGACTCGCGTTCCAGCCTGGGAATTGGCCAGGCCAATTCTCGAGGCCAGGGGAGGCCAAAGGAAGCAACCCCCGTGGACGTGACTCTAGACGTACTTCTTTCCCGACCTCCAAATTAGACGGCGCGCTTTCATCCATAATCCATTAATTCGCCTTTCCCGAGCTCGAAGAGTGCTCCAACTCCTCGGGGGAGATCGAACACCTCGTTACACTCGGCCGAGCTGGCTCGAGTTTCGCGAATCTTTTCAATTCGGTCCGATCGGGTCGTCTTCGCGCCACCCTCGAGTTCGAGTTCGGAGTTCGGTCCGAGAGAGAGTGAGAGTTCGCCCCGACATGGAAGCGCGCCATCCCCGCCATCGAGCGTCTCCAGGTAAATCGCCTCGAAATCGGAGCGAGCTGGAAGCCGGGACTTAAAGTCACGCGAAACCTGGATTTGGATCGGTTTCACAGGATCCAAGTTCCGTAGCGTCTTGCTCGGGATCTCCTGAAATTGCCATGCCACATCGCGATGGCTTCTCGGCCGCCATCTTGTCACCGAGATGTCCGGCGCGAATGCCGCGTCCACCGTTGAACGTAACCGAGGGAATTTCCCCGTGTTTCCTCAAAATCTTCCTATCCTACCTCTAACCGTGGTCTCGTAGTTAGGGGCACGTTAAAAGCATTCGTTAGGAACTTCGGAGTGCCGCAAGTGGAGAGGCGTAATTAGTAGCGCGTCTCTTAAGAGGCACGACTCGGAATCGCTGGAGACGGGCTTCAGTTTCGAAAGTAGCCGCAGTTTTTCAATTACCTCAGGTCCACCAAAACGGGGCCATGGGTCGAGGACTGGACAACGGACACCGGGTCGAAAAGTTCGACTCGCGACCGCGATTTACCCAGTTTCGCTTATGATATCAGGATGCAATTTGCAGGGGACGTGCCACGCAGGGAAAAGGGGACGCAGGAAGTTCCAGAGAACGTGCTCCACTTGGCGGGATGATTATGTTTTATAGAGGCTGGGAACGGACCTTCCTATGTTTTTCTACCTTGAGATGTGCGAGCGCCGTTCGCGTCGTCGTATTTTACAGCTAATGCCGTCCTATATCGAGTTGCCTTCGGGTGGATTACCATAAGCCCGCTTGCAGATTGGATATGTGTAAACGCATCGCTCGTTTGGAATAGGCCCCAACTTGTTGCTGGCGCATCTGCATCCCTGGAAGAAATTCCAATCGCAACCCGTTCGAGCCGTCGAAGGTTCTCCATATTTTACCTTCTTCCGTAATTTTGCCTAGTTCCGAGTAAAAAATTGGTATAGAGGAGATTGGTAAAAGAATTCGCCGGAAGTCTGATCCCGGCGCATCAGGGTGTCGCCTTCGATCACTTCGGGGCATTGAATGTCCTTTGGGTGGTGTAGACCCGACCCCCTCGTTCGGACGGATTTTCGGCCGATATTACCAATCCGTAATGACTACTCGGGCTCGGACATTGACGTTTATTGGGACGTTACATGTATCCGGCCAGTCGGCGTTTATACACAGACCAGAATCTGCTCGATCGAGCCACTCGTCCTCTCGCGTACTTCCTGTTCATCCTGCCGACTCCTTCAGGAATTTCAGGAAGCTTCCCGGAGTGTCGGCTCGGGAAGTTTCCATGAAAATTGCACGGTGTAGTACCTCCTCGGGTTCCCGTATATCAAGGCAATCTCATAAGCGCTACGCCGAGCGGTTCTATAGACTAGTCACTTTAAGCTCAGACCTGAAGAGGGGTGCCAGAGACATTAATTCTCCCGCGATATTTCTGTTCATAAATTAATCCACCTCTGATGAGGCGTCCCTCAACAGGTCCGTTAATTCAGGAAATCCATTTTTCAATTAACGGGAATTAACGCGTCGAGACTCTCTCCCCTCGTACCGGGGGTGTACCTTCCTTAAATATATAATTTTTCTAATCCACCACCCACCCCCTCGTCTTGGCCAAGGTTGACCCAATTTCCCATGGCTTGTTAAAGAACAAACTTGCACGCGATCCCGGAACAAAGTGTTCGGCTACTTCGACTTCTATTCGAGAGTTCGTTTAGAAATTCGGCCGGAATTCCTCTCCCCGCCGGTCCCGAGAACGGTGAAACTTTTTATTTTCCTACCTCCTGACATCGACCACCTAACTACCCGAAAAGTGCTCTTCTTCTTTCACCGGGCAATGTTTTTCCCGGTGTCAACCACGAAGACCGCCAGTTTCTGGTCCTCGTCTCTCTTCATTTCGGACTTGACACGCGCGTGCCCATTACAAAGCGATCTATTTCCTCGCGAAAAAAGTCCTTTTCCCTTTTTCCTCCCGTGAAAGTTTCCCGCGAGCCGAGTTCCACGTTCTGTGCACCCAGGCCATTAGTCTCGGGGTTGGTTCGTGAGTATAAGCGATTCCTGGGGCTATGCATCGTCGACCGTGTTCGCTACCTGGATGGGTGATCGCGAAAACTCCTCAGGATTTTCGTGGCTTTTTTCCTCCCCTAGAATCCGGCATGAAAGAGGTCCAGAGGAAAGAAATATGAAGGCCCGCCCCCGGAAGAAACATCACCTCCCATAATTTCTTGCCAGTTCGAGGTGGCGTCAATTTTAGATCGGCAGTTGCGCACCCTCCCCGAAGGAACTTCAGAGATTGGACAAAAACCCCGGGAGGGAAATCTCGAAAATCCCGGTGAAAGTAACCGGGGGGCAACCGAACTATCCGATCCCCGAGTAAGGCCATGCGGGAAGGTAATGCCTGGTAATTGGATGCGAGGGAACTTTTATGCAAAGGTTCGCCGTTTCTAGTTCAGACTCGGGGAAAGAGAAAAAAAAACGTCTCATATTTCAGCGAAACGAGGCGAGGGCCGTGACTCACCTCACAGAAGACCCGAGGTGCAAGGCGAGGGGAGAAACTGCCGATGATGATCCGCGTGTCGAGGTCCTGGAAAAGCAAAAACAATAAACAAAAGTACCCAAGGTGCATTACATTCAGATTTATGAACCATGATTCAAGAGAAATGCAGGGGTCGATTCCTGAATTCTGAAATTCGACAGTCGACAGTCTATATGCAAAGCGTGCGGAAAATGCAGGAGGTGCAGGGGAAGAATCACCTTAAGGGTCCGCAACTGTTCCTTGAAGTCGTTCTCCGCAAAGGTGATAGTGGCCGTGCAGGTGATATTGGCCCGTTCGAGTTCCGTGACCAGATCGTTGACGGCCTGTAACATCGATAGGGGGTATCGATCGCGATTGGGCGGGCGGTCGGCACGGTTCGGTTTATTACAGCTTCCGGTTCCATATGGACCACGCGGTGCGTCGGCAAATGGATTTCCAGGACGAGAGACGTACTGTATTCGTCACTGTCTACGTCAACGTCAATCACCGGCGGTGCCGGCGTAAATCTCGCGCGAGAGGAGAGTTTCGGCCGTAGAGGAGAAACAGGGAGGCGTAGTTACGGGTACCTACTACCGGCATAGGTGTAATGAACGTTATTAGCTCCGAAGGCATTATAGCGGCTCATGGACGTCCTCATCGGACGTTCATGCGCGGTAATAAGTCACCGGCGGTTCCTGCTCGGCGGACAAAACCGTAAATAATTGTTTCTTTGCACCGGTTAACGCTTTTTGCGAGGCCGTCCTCCGTTTCCTTGCGCCCCGGCGACAGGAAATTAACCCGCTCAAAGCTAATTCCGCGGAATCCCCGCAAGCCGGAGTGCTTTTATACGCGGAAAATTATGTTACGGTGTTACCGCCGTAAATCACGGCCCGGGTAAGTACGAGTTGCAGGGGGCTCGTATGATGCACCGACAATGCGGTTGCGGGAAGACGTGGACGATATTAGCCGCCAAGGCCAGTCAGCGACTTCCCTGGATACTTGTTCAAGATGTACGAGTTTTCTTTTTCTTTTTTTCGGGGATTTAGGATTCGATTTGAGAAAATTTCTTACCAAGGAGTACATATCTCCGGTCTGGGAGAGCGCGGTCACCGTGTCCCATCCGAAGTGCTTGATCAGGGCGATCCTGGCCGTGTTGTGGCTGGAGTCCGGAGCCACGGTCCTCAGGAACAGCGGGAACTCCGAAGAGTCGGAAAGAGCCGGGGCTGTGGACCCGAAAGACACCTGTACCATGTTCCAATAAGGGACGATCTTGGCAAGGGTCTCCGTCACCTCGGAGCAAGCCGTTCCGAGCAGAAGCGGCATGGGCGCGTTCTTCCTCTGTGAGTAGAGAGCATGGAAGAACCGATCGACTCCCACTCCAGGATCGCACTGTAAAAAAGGGGAAAAAAAAATCGAATTTTTATACTCCAAGCTGGGTGAAATTAATTTATTTCGTCAAATGGGTGGGTTGAAGGTAAATAGATCGGATGACATGGACGTGTTTAACCTGTCGGGAGAATAAAAGACGTATTTCCAACTCGTCGTCGTTTGTACGAAATCAGTCCCTTTAAAATCTGGACTCCATGAATTAGGGGTGATTAGATCGGTCTGGGCAAATTGTGCCAGCCAAGCTGGACCGCGCGACAATTTCTTCATCACCATAATTGATGCGCCCCGGATCGGTTCATCGCTATGTGCAATGAATTATCGCCTCGTACGTACCAACGGTCAGATGCATAATAATACAATGGTATCAAAGGTTGCATCCAGTTAGCGATATTGCGAAGTAGAAGCCCACCGCGCTTACTGAGTTTAGTGCTACGGGTAATGCTTTCCATGGGAATAGGCACAATTATCAATGGCGGAATTATCCTCCGCACAATGTCCTTCCCTCGATAACGTGCCCCACGATGTGTGCGGTTTCATCCGGCACTTCGAAATCTCGTTTATGAAGCGGCCTGTAGCCGTGAGCTTCTGTCACGCGACAAAAGGAATGAATAAATCTGGCGCATCCAGGGCTGGTCGCATTGTCCTGGAAATGCTTCCATTTCGCGTGGTACATCATGTCTCATGCAGGACGCCGTCGTCATTAAGTTGAAGTACACTCCTGTTGCTTACTACCTTCTGGGTAAATGCAAAAATCCTGCAATTTGGTGAATTTTTTCGGATAAAAGATATTCTCCATCCTTGCGCAAGGAAGTGCCCGTGATTCCGTACCGAACTTGTAATTCGCATCGGCTCTCGATGTAACAAACGTTAATACCCTCCTTTGTTGAGCCCCGACATTGGCAGAGCCATTATTTTTAATCTACATACTCCCGCGAAGCGGCCATTGTCATTCTAACGCATCTGTTGCACCCAGTGTCCCTCTTATGAGTTTATGCATCCGCCGTGTTTCCGTCGGTGCTTTTACGGCGCACTTTATTGCACTTTTTCTCGCGTAAAGCGGTCCGAAAAGTCAATAAACAAGTCGGAAGTGCCCGGCCGCAATTTCGACAGGGAAAACTGGTTAACCACCAGGACTCAATTGGTACTGTTAACCGGAATCACTCGGCGAGTGTCGATGGAACCGTAATTTCGAAGCCACGTCCATTCCGTCCCTGGTTTACCTCCGATCCGCCGATAGGAGAGAATTTGTTACAGGCCGAACGTGTAATTCAGAACTTTTATCGGCTACTTACTTCCCTTGACCTATAAGACCTGGAAGCCGCGAGCTACTAACTATCCAATTCTGAAAGACGTAAAGTACATCCACGACTAAACGAAACTCCGCGCGGAGGATCGCCGGAGTTGAACCAGTTGCTACCACCAGAACTTGCGGTGTACATCTTCGAGACCCCTCGAGCCCTCTTCTTCCTCTAAATTAAACGTGCAGTTAACTCGAGAATTTACGATGCTTTAAAAGTATCATCAACATACTTCCCCGCGTCAGCTATCTCCTAGGTAATCGGAGCTAACTAGGAGGTACGAGTGCACGGGGTATTAATCTTGGAATCCGGCCTTCACGGTTAACGCGAGGCCGAATATTAATCTACAAGGCGTGTAAACTGAGATTTGTCAGAATCACTGAGCAAGATATAAGTAAAAACCCCGATTTGTCAAAATCACCGGGCAAATATAATAAAATATCCGGGGACCGTTTCGAGATCTTCGCCACGGGCAGAAGAGCTCCTTTCCCGAAGAGTCGATTCGATCCATCCATCTTCAAGGGTTAACTGTGTATACTTATAAGGAATCCGGCGGGGGTGCACTTCTTCATAATAAAGGCCGTTCTGGACGTAAAGATGTGCCGTAAAATGGGGTGATTTCAGCCACTTCTCCATTCTGTCGTTTATCAACGCTCCCGGGAATGCGCGCCCTGCTTGATACCAACTTGTCATAAATCGTGATTCGCGCCAACCACCTTCGGGCCACATTTTCACGGCGGGAATTTTCCTCGACGGTATTCCAACCGATCCGTTCATTCCTTTGAATGATGAATTAAGTTTCACTTACGGCACGGGGAATTTAATATCAATATCACTGTGGTTCACCGACGAGGTGTAACCCAACGACGCAATTTCTTGGTTCTCAATTCGTTGCACGAGATCTAATTTAATTCAGCTTATTTCGAGTGCGTGGACATACCGCGTTAATGAACCGACACGAGAGGTCGAGTTTTAAGGGAGTACTTTCGGTGATTTACGCGCCTCTCGAATATTTCGTATTAAGGCATTACAAAGTCAAATGAAACTAATTTCTTTCAAGGCTTAGAGGCGATGAATATGGTAATTAAGTGCCGAGCGAAACATCCCGAAGTTCTGAAAGACTTGTTGCAAACGGTGAAAGTGTAATTACACCGTATTCGCGAAAGTGCAGTACACCTACCGTATACAAGACTGGGCATTTGCATTCTACGTGGATGCAAGGACGAATTAAGGGAGCTTGACTCAGGAGAAACGAATAAAACTTGCTCACGGTTAGGACGGGGATCTCAATAAAACCGAGCGAAATAACGATCTTCCAACTTACTCCGGAAAAAAAAGCTCGGATGAACCAACTGAGGGAAGAATGAACGAGGCGGGCTTTAAGTTCATAGAAATCTTTTTCCTGGGCGAAACTCGGCTGCCAAAGAAAACGCCACAATAAGCGGCACGGCATGATGCTTTTGTGAAAAAGTTGAAAGACATCGCGCAGTGCTATGATCAAAGTGGACCTCAAGTAAAAGAGTCTTCGTGGCCGGTTAAAAAAGAGTGAGGTAATAGTCTTCGACATGGAAGACGACGATCATGGTTTCCCATAAGAGAATCCAGAGGAGAGCGACGCGGTTCGCCGAGAGCTCGGCCCGGATGCGAGCGATTTTTATAAATCATAATTGTAATGCCAATCAAGCCGTGTTTGTTAATACGAAATTTTCATCCCCAGATCTGGACACCTCGGATATCGTATACGGGTTGCACGATACCATGAACTGCGGGTGTCGGTACCAATTAAATCGCACAATTGCATTCAGCTATACGGGTTTCGCAGGATTTTACCGTGGTCGGAATTTCACGTCGGATGATATGAATGAATTTCCCAAATTCAGGATATTATACGAATCAGTTTAAGCTCCGTTAATTAAGCGCGCGGTTTAAAACGCGCGAATTGCATATAAATAGGTATTATATCGGCGAGTAAAAATGACCTTTCGGTAATTTTTTTCTTCCAGGTTCGAGAATATTTCTTTTCGAGAGGGAAAATGATTCGGTGGAATTTGATTCTCTCCTTCTGCGGATTGGTCCTGGCACGAGTGGAGTACGCTAAGGAGTCGAATCAAAAAAGGATGGCTCCGATGTCCTGCATAAAATCCATTGTCGATGGATTGATCGAGAAGGATGAATGGATGCTTATCCTGTCGGCCAAAATAGACGATCAGCTGTTGTTTCCTCTTAGTTTTTTCCCGAAAATGATTGTTCATCCTTGGCAGAAGATCACAACCTTTCGAGACCAGCACGTTTCCAAAAGTCTGGTCTTGTTGGTCCTGGATGGACCTCACGACAATGGGACTCTTTCCAGACTCGTAGAGTTCGATCCATTCGGGACTTTCTTCGTCATCTTTCAAAACGCCAATTTCGAGGATCTTAATGAAAAATCACTTAAGGACTTCTTCGAGATCGTGGCGAAGACGAGGAGGAGGAAAGTCCTTATTTTGACAGATGACGTTGATGGAGCCGTCCATGTTCACGGATACTCGATGTACAGTTACGAAAAGTGCGGCGAGGTGACGATTCTTCATCAAAAGGGGTGCGACCCTTATTTGATCAGCAAGGAGATGTACCCTATGTTTGTTAATTTCCATCGGTGCCAGCTTCGATATGTGTCCTGTACTTGGGACGGTATGTTTGAGTTGAGCTCTGGACCCGTTAGGAAGGAAATCGGGATCTACAGATATTTGATTGATTGGATAAGCATGAAACTGAACGCTACCAACGTGCACTCGTTGGCTGCGCAATCAGGTGTGATATAATGACGTAAATGAATTTTTCGGTCCTTGGCAAATCCACAAATTCGATCTCTTCCTTCTCAGGAGCCGTCCAGGAAACACTTCGCCAAGAGAGGGCCGACATTGGCTACGGTCCTTTAGAGGTAAGGAATCGGCAACAGGTGTCCATCTCTGATCCATACTTCTTCTTGTACCTCAAATTCGTTCTGCCAAAGAAAGATAAATCGACGTTGCTATTTCTGATGCCGTTTCTTGGCGAGGTATGGCGATTATTCCGATCCTGATATCTTTTAATTTTTCTTCTCGTCCTCGGTAGACATTTTTTTCTCGTCAACTTCATCCAACAATTCCCTTTGCAGACGTTTCTTCCATTGGTTTTGACACCCATCGGCTTAATCTTGTTAGGACTAATGTTCCTCGGAAAGAAAATGTCCTTCATCCAACAATTTGGAGCTCTGCTGGGAATGCCATCCCGACTGTATTACGATCGAACGTCCCAGAAGATCTATCAGATCATGTGGATATTTTACGGATTCATAATCACGAGTTTCTATTGGAGCACTCTTGCCTACATCATGTCTTCTATCCGTAAGGACGAAGATCTTAGATACAAAACCGTCGAGGAATTGGATAAATACAGTAATTACGAATTTTGCGGGATACAAAACTGGCATAAATTACTCGTTAATTGCTGCCCGCGAATAGCTCGTACTTACAAGGTGAAATAATTTATTTAGGATGGCGATATTTTTCTCAGGTTTGCAAAATTTATCACGTGGCTTTTTTGTAGGTATTGGAGCTTGATGTATACATGAGAAATACATTTCAGCTAATGAAGGGCTTATCAGCGCAACCCTTTGTGTGTCCCTTCGTCGCCGTAAGTGTAACAAGATATTCATTTCTTGAGGTTTTTGTCTGAGGTTTT